AATTAATTAATTACTTTGTGTATGGATTACAATCACAAGCAAATTATCAAACTACAGACCATGTGTTGTAAAAGACAAATAGTAGACATGGTTTACATGAAATGAAAGACTATTCAAGGCACCGGTGGTTTGTGTCTACTTCATTGGCTCACCACACCGACAGTTAACTAGATGTGGGTTCTAATTGGTCACTGTTATGAAATGCTAGCTGTAATATAGAGACATGTAATCTCCTGATCACTTGTGGTTTACTGGATACAGACAAAACTTTATCATATGTAGTAGGCCAACATATAATATGTACCAATAGCATAATTTGAAAATAAAATTAACATAGGTATACAAAAAAAAAAGCATTCAAGGAACTTGAAAATGCCTCAGTTAAAGCTGGTCATGAGGTAAATGAAACATAGACAAAATTTATGGTACTTCACCAAACACACATACCAATGACAACATCAAAATAAGCAATCACAACTTTGAGAAAATGGCCACTTTCAAATATTTTGGAGCTACTATAAATGAGCACAATGAAAGAATGACAAAGTGAAAGAGGGTTAACAGCAGGCAAACGTTCTTATTTCAGCCTACAAAAGCTACTAGGAAGCAAAAACCTCTGAAAGAGAATTAAAAAAGGTAATACACAACATTATCATAAGACACAAGTGAGACTTTGTCCCTTAGCAGAGAACCTGCTCAATACATGGCACAGAAAAATCCTCAGGAAAATATATTGCCCTGTGATAGACAATGATTTTTGGAGAATGCATACAACCAAGAGATATATCCAGTGTTTCAAGTCCCACCCAAAGTTGCAACAATTTTAAAAGGCAGATAGTGCTGGACGGGACATCCTGAGAGGAAAATGGATTGTAGAGCAGCAGAAGTGATCTAAGGGCAGATGGTTCAACGGTCGACCAAGTCTGAGATGGATTGATGATGCAGAGAAGGACTTACATAAGCAGCAGGGGTCTGTGCATGGAGATGGAAAGCCATGGATCGATATGAATGGAGTGATGTGATGGAGCAGGCAAGGGACCTACACAGGATGTAGTGCCACTGATGATGATATTTAAAAAAAAGTATTTTTCTTAAATTTAATATTTGACAATTTATCAATTCCCTGTGTAACAAATAAAGGTGGCTTAATTTTAGATTGAAAGTATTATATATTTTATTTTAAGACAGGTAAAGAACAGAGTGAGCACCAAATTCTGTATTTCCTCATATCAATTTATCATTCTTGATCAAATTAATCTAAAATAACTATTTATGTCTCAAGGCCTAAAATATATATTTTGCTATATTTTTTCCCCAATAAATTAAATAATTCCTAATGAATATAATTTAGGAATTCAAAGGAATAAAAATGTTTAAAGCTTCCCATTTATTTTTTATTTGTAAATGTTATAACGTGATCAAACCACCCCACCGCATACTTGTCAAATACAAATAATTAAAAAAATTATCTGATCATTGTCAGATGTTGATCTGCTTCCTCCTCCTTTTTTAATTTAATTTAATATGTTTGTAAATATTTCAACAAATTTCAACCTATACATTTTAAAATGGCGATTCATCATGCCAATAATAATGACAGCATAAACCGTCAAATCACAGTAATAAAAAATGTGAAAATAGCATTAATAAAAACTGTCAAATCATAGTAATAAAAACTGTCAAATAGCAGTAATAAAAACTGTCAAATCACAGTAATAAAAACTCTCTGACTGTTCTTGTAATCTTATCTACTAATTATAACACATTTAGAAAATGACAACTATTTTGTAATGTGAACTCAGAGCCTTAAAATGGGGGCCCAGAGTTGTGATGTGGGGGAAAAAAATTAAAACATCAACTTTTAATGCAGTGGACTCAATGCCAACAAGGGGCCTATAAATCCACAAGTACAGATTAGACTTAATGCTGAAAATCTGCAGTTTAATAAGTGCAAACCTAATAATCCATTTAGAGCATTTATTGTTTAAATGCTGGAGCTCGGAGTGGAGATGGAGCTAGATAAAATGTGTCAGCACCGCAGCTGAGATCAGCCAAAAAAAAGCCTCCTCCACAACCTTGTCCAAAAGAAATGTGAGGGATCTGCGTTAAATGCTATTCTCTGGTTTTAATGTTGTTCTGCTTCCACCCTCTTTCTTAATTTAATTTAATATATTGGTGTATATTTCAACAACTTTCAACCTATACATTTGCAACGTAAAATGGCGATTCATCATGCGAATTATAATGACAGCACGTTGACAAACTTAAATGGAAATGAATTTTTGGCAGGAACTAAATGACACACAGTGATGGACTAATAATTTAGATGGGCGCACAAAATACTACGACACATATAATTTAGATGGGCGCACAAAATACTACGACACATGAGACTGTTTGAATAGACCAGATAAAACATTATGATGACAAAATCACGGGAGCCAATTAATGAGATCAGAATTTAAAATATCATAAGCAACTGTTCGTATATGGGAACTACAGCGGGGTCACCCCAAACAAAGGGAACCACTGTGGGAACATCCCAAACAAAGGGAACCACAGTTGGAGCAGGAACAAAGAGCTATTTGAACCACTTTTCGTTCATATGCCAGGAATTTGTTAAGAACCAGAAGGCTTGATAGAAACTTTAAACTCATGAAGAAGAATGAAATGTGGGTGTAGATGGTGGTTGTAGATCAGGGGCCCTCAATCTATGGCCCATGGGCAACATCCAGCTCATTCTTAATTTTTTTTCTCTAACATTAATTCGGCCACAACAGTTTCTGGGCAAAAATGAACCGGTCCTGATTAAAAAGTTTGAGAACCCTTGTATGGATGATGATTGTAAATGATGGATGCAAATGATGTGTGTAATTGGTGCTTCTAAATGGTGTATTGAAGAGGTGTATGTAATTGGTGCTCGTAAATGGTGTATGTTAGAGGTGCTTGTAAATAGTGTATGTTAGAGGTGCTTGTAAATAGTGTATGTTAGAGGTGCTTGTAAATAGTGTATGTAAGAGATCCTTGTACATAGTGTATGTAATTGGTGCTTGTAAATGGTGTACATAAGAGATGCTTGTAAATTTTGTATGTAATTGGTGCTTGTCCATGGCGTATGTAAGAGGTGCCTGCAAATGGTGTATGCAAGAGACGGCCTGATTAGTGAAGGGATCAGCACAAATTTAAATTTATTTTCCATACGATGCTAGATTTTTGCAAACTGCATTTCTTAACAGGAACTTTGCAAACCATGAACTAGTTTGTGGAACTCATTAAGTTTATGGTCAGATCCCCAAATAAATCACCTCTCATCACAACTTATCTTTCCTCCTCCTTTCCCTTTAAGGGGCCACCTTTTTTATCTTGTGTTTGGGGAAAACTTCTATGAATTCTTTGATATCTCTGGTGATTAGTTTGAAAAAAAATATTTTTTGTTGACTATTACAGTGCTGAAAATCTAAATAAATTTTCACCAACTCAAAAAGCTAATGTCATCTTTTATACATTTACCCTCTAATTCAAATATCTAATGTCATCTTTTATACATGTTCCTCACTAATTCAAGATTTTGAACACACCATAAAATTGGATTAAATAATGCCTTACATTAATAGCATCTCATCAATTATTCTTGAATAACTTAAAAGTGTGAATAACTGATCAACAATTAAACATCAGATTCTAAAAGTCAATTACACAAGCAGCTAAAAATTATAAAGTGCAATTCTACCCTTTAAAGTTTCACATAAGTGAAATTGTACAGATTTAGTAAATGTCTCATTTAATACGCCATATTTTCACACAAACATTAACTCTATAATAAAGGAGATCTCCTATATACAGTTTAAAATATGCAGTAAAAAATGATTCATTTACAAATATTTGACAATAAAATAATTAATTTACAAGGAAAGATTGGGTGAAAAAATTTAAATATGTAGTTACATCAATTCTGAAAAGAATGGTGAAAATAACATTTTAAAAAAAAAAAATAAACAACAATCTGCATATAGGACATATGAATTTAAAATTTATCAGTGTATCATTACTAAGCATTTACAAAATTACTTTAGCAAGCAACAAAATACTGATTTACATGAGGAAGTTAAGTTACATAAGATAAGATAAGATAGTTATAGCATTACTTTATCCTTAGCGTTTTGTAGTTAATTTTTTAAAATTCTAAAAAAATGTTCAAATAAAAATGAAAAATGAGGGGAATATGTCCCAACTTAATAAAAATGATAACTTTGCAATAAAATAAAATCCATTAAATGCCTACAGTCAACTACCTAACATAATATTAAGTAGGCCCTATTGTTCCGTAGAATGAAATTCACTTGAAACTATTTCATCTTTATTTCAGACACTGAATCAAACAAATGCGTTCTACTCCTTCACTATTCAGCTATTATCATTCATTGAACAACATGTAATATTTGAATATAAATAGGAAGTAGACAAAAAATTAGTTTTAGAACTTGCCATTGCAGTACTGCAGGGATGGGCAAACTTTTGTGGCTGCGAGCCAAATTTAAGAGGTAACAGAGGCATGGGAGCCATAAATGGTGAAATCAGGTTGGGAAAAAAAAAAAAAGGGGGGGGGGGGGAAACCAGAAACATAGAGAAACAACTAACCCAATATAGTAGTGAGATCTGCAAATGAAACTTTAAATTACATTAATTTTTTCCCCCTATTTTTATGATAATTTTAATTTAAAAAATTTAAGGGAGCCATTCAAAACAGAGGCCCGAGCTAAATTGGCTCGCGAGCCATAGTTTGCAAACCCCTGCAGTAGTGGATTATCATCAGCATTAAAATTTGATACCTGTAATGAACAAAAATTATGTGACATCAAGCGGCCAGCACAGGCATAACAAAACAGTACGTGATGTTCGTTAATGTTAAACATTATGCTTTATTAAATGTTTAAAATAATTTAAAATATGATTTTACTAATATAAATATAATGCAATTTCTAAAATAAAGTTTAAGATTATTAAAAAACTGGAAGTTTGTCTCTTCTCTTTAGTGAAAGATCATCATCTAACAAAAGGAGGATCTGTTTGGAAATATAAGAAACAAATAACTTAAATTTACCAGTTTCATGATTGTGTTATTTTTAGTTTGTAAAAATATTTCTAAAATAGTGATCTAGCCATTTAACTGACAAGTACTGTCAGTGTCTTAAGTTTAAATTCTGATTTTTAAAATGGTTCCTCTTTTATTTTCATCATGAGCATGTCCTCCCTAAACTGCATCAGTCGTAGTTTGTTTTTAGAGTTAGCTTATCTCAAGTATGGAGCATTTGTAGAACATTCTCCTGGCAAATATTTGAGGCCATGTTTGATTGCTCCTGGCCCTTAAATCTCCATTCCCTGGCTCTTGACCTATAAACCTAATTTCCCCAACTCTCTCAAACCTCTCCAGGTTCCTTAAACCTCCATTCCCCTGGCTCCTGGCCCTTAAACCTCCATTCCCCTGGCTCCTGGGCCTCAAGCTTCTAATCCCTAGCTCCTGACTCATAAACCTACATTTCCCCAACTCTTTCAAACTTCAACAGGGTCCTAAAACCTCCACCCCCTTGGGATCCTGGCTCACAAAACCTACATTCTCATGGATTCCTAAATAAAATGTACACAGACATAGAGGCAATACTAAATAAAATCTATGATTAAAAAATGAAATTAATTCTATTGGTCAATGACATATGAATTAAATACACTGCAGTAAAGCAGGATGCTTGGGGTAAAGGGATAATAGAGACTACATAAGACATATGTTGCATGTATGTGAAAAAATAAATATGTGAAGTTGATTTGAAAAAATAAACATATTAGGAAATGCTTTACAATGTTAGATAAATTGAAAAAATAAATACATCAAGAAATGTCTTACAATGTTAGATAAACAGAAATACTCCACCATTTCGAATGGGTCAATTCTAGTTTTTAAATATTTGACTCACCATAAAAGAGAAAAAAAGACTTATGGCAGACAAAAAGTGCCAGACATCATGAGCATCATAAAACTCCATCAGTATGCACTCACTGTTACGGGCCCTTGAACCGGCCGGTGTGTCCTGAAATATTAGGTTACTTCATGTACGGACATAGAATATTTGTACAGAATTTAGACCAATTGAATTTTTTAAAATTCTGACATAGTTTACTAAGAATTTTCTCTGTAAGTTACCCTGAGATTCTGAAGAACTTAAACGTTTTAACTACTTAAACACTCAATGAAGTTGTCAATTCAGACATCATAAGGAATTTAGAGCTGTAAAAAGATTAGTTTTAACACTCAGGTTTTTTTCTTGACAAATGTAACAAAGCCAGTAAGGTTGTAGAATAAATGGTAAGGCTACAGCTAATTTGGTGAGACATCAGAATTATAATCCCATGGTAGATTGGTTGCTGTCTCACAACTTCAGTGGTTGAGATTTTACACCTCCACCCCACCTTTGCATTACACCTGAATTGGAAATTTAGTCATAGCTTGAGATGACCCCTGGAAAAATGCATTCCTCCAACCTAAGGATCAAAAGGCTGCTGATTATTTAGGCATACTATTATTTCAAAAGCCAAGTTCCATAACTCCAACCTTAGAGATGGTAGAGCCAAGTGAGTGATTTATGGTATGATTGGTGGTTTGTTCAACTATCACACAGATCTATTGTGATGGTATGATTGGTGGTTTGTTCAACTCTCACACAGATCTATTGTGATGGTATGATTGGTGGTTTGTTCAACTATCACACAGATCTATTGTGATGGTATGATTGGTGGTTTGTTCAACTCTCACACAGATCTATTGTGATGGTATGATTGGTGGTTTGTTCAACTCTCACTCAGATCTATTGTGATGGTATGATTGGTGGTTTGTTCAACTCTCCACAGATCTATTGTGATGGTATGATTGGTGGTTTGTTCAACTCTCACACAGATCTATTGAGATGGTATGATTGGTAGCTTGTTCAACTCTCACACAGATCTATTGTAATGGAATGATTGGGGGTTTCAATCAAACTATCACACATCTCATTGTACACTTAAAATAATGTCCAAATTTGATGGGGTCAATTGAAGAATGATATAGACATGATCCAGCATGTATCTCACACCGTATACGAAAATTTGATCAAACAGAAATTTGGTAGAATCTTTTTTCAGTTTTTATGTCAAAATTGTGCTTCAAATTTCTTTTTGAATGCATTATTTTGTTTTACTAAATAGTATGGTGCGTTCAAAAAAGAAATGACGAAAATTTTCAAGTGTGAACTGAAAAAAGTTTCAACCAAATTTCCATTCGATCAAATTAGCGTCGATCAATTTACAGTCAACGAAATTTCTATCCACCAAATTCTGGTAACCATCTCACACAAGCTGGTTAAACATTGCAGATTAATTGCATTCACTTACCCCCCATGATGTCAGATTTTGGAAGAAGAAGTACAACGATCCAGCCCAGGTGACCATGGATGTAAGAATGACCAGAATGACCAGCCAGCTCAGACTTTCTTTGTATAACAACTGCCAAGGGGAGATTAGATTTTCATCAAATGCCCAGAGAACAAGCTCTGCTTCATTTGTTCTTAGATTTTGTTTTCATGACATTCTAAAACTGAAGTATTTCAATACTCTCACTGGCATTCGTACCAAGAGAACACATGAAATCATTTATGACATTGATCTTCACCTCAATAGAAAACATACAACTATATCATCCCACAGACCTTCATGTCAATATACAATTATATCATCCCACAGACCTTCATGTCAATATACAATTATATCATCCCACAGACCTTCAAATCAATAAAAAAAAATACAACTATATCATCCAACAGACTTTCATATCAATATAAAACATACAACTATATCATCCCACTGACCTTCATATCAATCCAAAACATACAACTACAGACCTTCATATTCATATAAACCATACAACTATATCATCTCACAGACCTTCATATTAATATAAACCATACAACTATATCCTCCCACTGACCTTCATAATAATATAAAACATACAACTATATCATCCCACTGACCTTCATAACAATATAAAACATACAATACAGCAAGAGGTTTCCGATAAATATGGCTAGCAGATATGTGGCAAAATCAGATGGCTGTTTGATGGCTCCGTACAAGGCACTGAAAATAATCATTTTATTTTTTAAATGACTGCTTATATTGTGAGAACCACCTCCAGGAGTCACATATACTAAATGTCCTTAATCTGTCTAATCATAATTGTGATCATACCCCAGAAGTCTTTTAACACAAGGGTTCTCAGGAATGTTTTCACAAGAGACCTATTTAATAAGATCATTTTTTTCTTTCAATGTTTTAAAACCTTTCCTAGGTTGAGTTTTTATAAATCAAATATTGTTTACAATGAAAGGGTTCACATAGATGGAATTAAAAGTAAGCATTCACTTTTGCCTGGGGCATAGAGCTTAAACAATATGTAACATGACACATTATTAGAATTGCTCAACTTGTAAGATCAAGTCCAGCTCATTTATCAATAATTAATTTATGTCATAAATAAGCTCTGTATTTAATTAATTATTTTTTTTTTTAAATTTACACAGTTACATATTTAATTTAAAACAATGTTTGATCAGAACTTAGAAAAAAATATTTAGAATTTAAAAATTTAAAATAAAATGCCAGAATTTTAAAAAAATGCAATTGAACAAACATGTTAGTTCAAGAACTTTAAAAATAATTAATTTAAAAATTAAAAAAAAAGAACCAAAAAAAAAACCATGTTTGCTTAGAACTTACAAAGCCCAGTTGATTAAATTTCCAAAAAGAAGCAGAATAAAGCGACTCTGAAATGAGAAAAACATCTAATGAAACTCTTTAAATGTTGACATTTTAAAATAAACACCTTACAAACCTATGACTTCCTGCTGTAGTAATCAGTGCTAACAGATATTTGTAACCATTTTTTGTAACTTCATAATTCCACTGACTGTTAAAAAAAATGGGGAAATAAAATATTTTATAAAATAAAAGTACTTGAAACAGGCATGGCAATCAGGATCTGGTGGAATAAATAAACATATTGAAACTCACAAGTCTTCAAAATATCAAGATTAATAGAGGCAATGATTGAAAACTCACAGGATATATTGGTCTGGTACATCGGCGACCTTCGGTCAGAATCACACGAAACAATCTTTTAAAAATGTGACGATCTAAAAAATGTTAATAAAAAAAAAAATTAAAATCAAAATTAAAAAATTAAACCACCTGGATTGTTCAAACAAATGTTAAACTTCTTTTTGCTGGCATAACATAAGTAAAAGTAATAACACTCACTATTTGAAGATAGATTTCCTTTGCTGGCATAAGTAAAAGTAACAACAATGGCTATTTCAAGATAAACCTTCTTTTGCTGGCATAAGTAAAAGTAACAACAATGGCTATTTCAAGATAAACCTTCTTTTGCTGGCATAAGTAAAAGTAACAACAATGGCTATTTCAAGATCAAAGCTGTAAGTTCCTTGTCATTTTATCTCTGAGAATGTTAAAAATCTCTGTCTTAATAATGGTTCTTTAAGATCTGCATGTACCAAAAGTGGCAATATCCTCACTCCATCAATGTATCCACATACCAAATCTCCATCTCCCCATGTAGTAGACTTGAGCACTTAATACTAAACTCATGAGCATATGAATCAGAGCATAGAAGATCCACAGGACACTTGTGCCATACACCTGGGAAAATATATCATACTGATCTAGTGACATATATTAGTGCCATGCACCTGGGAAAATATATCATACTGATCTAGTGACATATATTAGTGCCATGCAGTAGGATATTTATTTATATTTACAGTTTATACACTGGTTTCATACACCTGAGTAAATATAGGTTGTATATAGTTACATCTATTGGTCGCATGTGTGGGTGCAGGGCACAGTCCAACTGGTGGCACTTTATTTGTACTATATAATGAGGGGCTGCGTTTTATGGCCAACTTTTTTTCATGGAAAAGGGCAGCAAAAATCTAAGCCTGCCATGGGTGGCACTACCCAAAGCTGCATCACGGATTGGTGCCAGACATCTGATAAATTTACCATATATATAGTTTTATCTATATGTGCCTGACATCTGGTCAAATATATGCATGCAACGTGTACCTACCACTCCAAGAACAGCAATGAAAATGATGACAGCCATAGAGAAGTATGCGGTGTGAGCCTTAGCATTGATGTCAGGATGACGAAACTGGTAGATCTTCAACATGTTGAGGCAGGCAATGATGTACATGAAAGATGTATCTGTCAGGAGGAGTTTTTAAAAAGAAAATTTGTTTTTTTTCTCTGTGGGATCAGTGCCTGCTTCAAAGCATAGTGGCATTATTACTGAAACATGTAATATATTCAGTTGAGTAATAGAATTTGGATTATTAAATATCATACAGTTGAGTTATATAATTTGGATTGCTAAATGCCATTAGTACAAAAAAAATAATGTATTGATTATTTAGTCCTAAGATGGATAAGCTGTTGCGTTAAGATAACTGAGTAAATGGTAACCAAGCATGTGAAAATCTCAATTCTCATCTAGTCTTAACATAATACATAATCACATTTAAAAAGACATAATACTAATTTGAATTAATATGATTTTAATTTAAAGTTTTCTTCAGTTCCTCTTTTGTCCACTTTTTAGATGACCTCTTTTTTTTCTGTCCTTTGTAAAAAGCTTTGCCAATATTTAAACTATATTTACTTTAAATTTCCTTTAAACTTAGATGAATTTAAATTATTGCCATAATTATAGTGAAAGTATTCTTCTTGTTAAAGAATAAATTGGTTACCAAATGAATTTTGTTAAGGAATTAATCTGTTAAAGAATTAATTTCTTACAGAATGAATTTGTTACAGAATGAATTTTTTTTACAGAATGAATTCGTTACAGAATAAAATTAATTAGTTAAAGAATTAATTAGTTGGAATGAATCAGTTATAAAATGAACTAGTTACAGAATGAATGAATTAAAGAATAAATTAGTTCCAAAATGAATGAGTTACAGAATGAATTTGTTACTAGACTCACCAAACTGAAAGTTGGAGTAGTTGGGGCAGACATGATAGCAGGCACTCATAATGCCCTCCATCAGAAGAGCCATGCCCATAGCATAGAACAGGCCAAAGTGTTGGGGGATGCCGTAATGCTTTTCAAGATCCCCATGCTTTTTCTGAAGCATTTTGTGGAGGGTGTCTCTGGGGATGGAAGTGTGCATAAATGTGACTGTAAAATTTGGCCCAAATTGTTTGAAGGTATTTTTGCATCATTTCTTAAGTAAACAGATTATAAAGTGGAAACAAGTTTTAAAAACTTTAAGCAAAAAAATAGAAATGTGTTTTATGATATGTGAACTTTTAACTCATTAAAAAAAAAAACATTTATAGATCAGACAAGAGTATTTTGGATTCAGGTTACCAACCTACTGTAAATTAATATTGAAACTAGCACAGCTATCTCCTGAATATTTATTTTGAAACTAGCTCACATACCTTCTGTACACTATCACTATAAACAATTGTTATCAACCTCCTATACACTACCAAGATAAACAAGAGTCACCCACCTCCTGTACACTACCAATATAAACAAGTATCACCCACCTCCTGTACACTATCAAAATAAACAAGAGTCACCCACCTAATGTACACTACCAATATAAACAAGTATCACCCACCTCCTGTACACTACCAATATAAACAAGTATCACCCACCTCCTGTACACTACCAATATGAACAAGAGTCCCCTACCTCCCGTACACTACCAATATAAACAAGTATCACCCACCTCCTGTACACTACCAATATAAACAAGTATCACCCACCTCCTGTACACTACCAATATGAACAAGAGTCCCCTACCTCCCGTACACTACCAATATAAACAAGTATCACCCACCTCCTGTACACTACCAATATAAACAAGTATCACCCACCTCCTGTACACTACCAATATAAACAAGTATCACCCACCTCCTGTACACTACCAATATAAACAAGTATCACCCACCTCCTGTACACTACCAATATAAACAAGTATCACCCACCTCCTGTACACTACCAATATAAACAAGTATCACCCACCTCCTGTACACTACCAATATAAACAAGTATCACCCACCTCCTGTACACTACCAATATAAACAAGTATCACCCACCTCCTGTACACTACCAATATAAACAAGTATCACCCACCTCCTGTACACTACCAATATAAACAAGTATCACCCACCTCCTGTACACTACCAATATAAACAAGTATCACCCACCTCCTGTACACTACCAATATAAACAAGTATCACCCACCTCCTGTACACTACCAATATAAACAAGTATCACCCACCTCCTGTACACTACCAATATAAACAAGTATCACCCACCTCCTGTACACTACCAATATAAACAAGTATCACCCACCTCCTGTACACTACCAATATAAACAAGTATCACCCACCTCCTGTACACTACCAATATAAACAAGTATCACCCACCTCCTGTACACTACCAATATAAACAAGTATCACCCACCTCCTGTACACTACCAATATAAACAAGTATCACCCACCTCCTGTACACTACCAATATAAACAAGTATCACCCACCTCCTGTACACTACCAATATAAACAAGTATCACCCACCTCCTGTACACTACCAATATAAACAAGTATCACCCACCTCCTGTACACTACCAATATAAACAAGTATCACCCACCTCCTGTACACTATCAATATAAACAAGTATCACCCACCTCCTGTACACTACCAATATAAACAAGTATCACCCACCTCCTGTACACTACCAATATAAACAAGTATCACCCACCTCCCGTACACTACCAATATAAACAAGTATCACCCACCTCCTGTACACTACCAATATAAACAAGTATCACCCACCTCCTGTACACTACCAATATAAACAAGTATCACCCACCTCCTGTACACTACCAATATAAACAAGTATCACCCACCTCCTGTACACTATCAATATAAACAAGTATCACCCACCTCCTGTACACTATCAATATAAACAAGTATCACCCACCTCCTGTACACTACCAATATAAACAAGTATCACCCACCTCCTGTACACTATCAATATAAACAAGAGTCCAAGCATGACGTAGCCAATGTTGCTGAAGACATTGTTGAAAGAACTGAGGTAAGACTTGAATGGGTGGGAGCAAGCAAAGTTGTAGTAGCAAATGTCTTGGTTGCCAGTGGCTGTCAGAACCTGCACTCAACAAATGTTCATGGCAGTCAGTACAAGGCAACACAAGAAAATCTTAAACATACTTAAGAATATTTTATCTTTTTTTATCCCAGTGTATGTAACATTCTTATTATTCAAGAAGAGATAAACAAATTTTTCGTCTTTATAAAGTGGAGAATATTTTTTCTGTTAGACTCATTTATAAAGACGTGCAGTGTCATATGATGTGGAAATAAAGGGTTGGGGGGGGGGGGTGTAGAAAAAAGGGGTTAGCCATAATCTTGAGATATTTGTTGCTACTTCATAACTTGAAATTATTTTGTCCTCTTTTATGTCTTTATTTTTTCATAACTTAGGGGGAAAAAAAANTTTATAAAGTGGAGAATATTTTTTCTGTTAGACTCATTTATAAAGACGTGCAGTGTCATATGATGTGGAAATAAAGGGTTGGGGGGGGGGGTGTAGAAAAAAGGGGTTAGCCATAATCTTGAGATATGTGTTGCTACTTCATAACTTGAAATTACTTTGTCCTCTTTTATGTCTTTATGTTTTCATAACCTAGGGGGAAAAAAAAAAGCAACAACTAGTCATGTGGTCCATGAGACTTTATGAACTATCTCACCTAGAGTGTCTTAGGGAAGAAAGATAAGTCTTACCCTCTGGTATGTTATGACTAGCTGCACCACTGGCAGGCCATAGAAGATGGAGATGGTCACCAAGTTCCTGCAGGAAGCAAGGGAACAAATTTAAAATTAATGTGAGAGGAAAAGAAAAAGCTCCAGACCTTTTGGGTGATCTTTTAAAATAAATTCTGGACAAATCTTAACATTCATTTTAACCGACATCTCTTATGATAAAATTTGGCAAAGACAGGATGTTTGTTTCAGCTTCCTTTCTTACAGACTCCCCCGCCCCCATGAATCATGGCAAGCAAAACCCATTTGAATGTCTCACCAAGTTTGTGTGGATGAAAAGCTATAGAGGTTCTTTACTTAATTTAATTACCAATAATACAGTTTGTAAGTCTTGGATAATTTCTTGTTGTTTTTTCTGGCCAGGTCACTCACAAACAGAGCAGTCTGGAGAGAGAAACATTTGGTAGTGAGTTGTGATCAGTTGTACATTTTTTTAAAAATAACACGACACATTGAAGTTTTTAAAGAGTGAAATTCATGTCGTACACCCTTGAAGTCTCTTTTACAGATTGGATGAAAACATAAAAATTGTTGACCATTGGAACAAATGAAATCATTTTTTTTTCTTCTTTTTAATTTACTATTGAAAAAAGACCATACGATTTTAAAAATCTTCTTTCTATCTTCCATTTTCACATGTGTGCTCTAAGACAGTGAGTCTTGAATGATTTGAACATTGTCTTAAATGAAAACTCCTGGATTTAATGTATATGTTTGTCATCTTTACTGTGGTAGTAGCCCCAGTAACAAAAAAATTAATTTCACCTGAAAATAAAACCAATAAATTTACCTTGGTACGGAAGATTTCCTTCTCCATATCAGCATCGGGCAGGAAGTCTATGGTGGACTCATCTAGAGACACACTGGACGTTTCTGATGTCTGGTCAAAGGAAACATGGCTGAGTTCTCTATCTGATGAAAACAATGATATCATTGAGACGGTCCTGACCAATAATAACAAGTCACTAAACAAAGATACGATTGATTGAGATGTTCTTGAACAATAACAAGTCTCTAAACAAAGGTACGATTGAGATGGTCTTGACCAATAAACAAAGGTATCAAATTTAGATGATCCTTATAAGTAAATAACTGCATACAAAAAAAACATCAATATTTAAAAAGAGACTCTCAAAATAAAATCTAACATGTAAGATTTAGGATTAAAAGTTAATGAAGTAAATTTTCTTATAACTAGACCTGGGTGCAGCTGATTCATTGGAGGTGGTTAATAAGTGATCTCTACATATTTTCACTAGTACTCCTAACTTTAGAAAACCGATTCAAGTTAGTACATTATTTGTTCATGGAATTTCTTTCCCCAGCAGGCCTGAATTTAGCAGATCTATAAAATTTGTCTCACTATTTTTTTATTGGTTAGACCCTAGTAGGACACAGGCACATGAATTTAGGGGTATTAGCTACAAAATAATGAGTGATTTTTGTTGTTGCCATCATCATTTCTTGTGTACTTGAAATCAACATCTCAGTTAAGTTAATGATACAATTCTTAGATTGTTCTTCCCCTAGCACAACAGAAGAGTTTTTCCTTCCTTAACCGGCTGCTATGTTTGCTCTTTGATTTGATCTTAATTTGGGCTTCAAAATATCTGCTATATATGCATGACATGGATAAACCTAGAAGATGAAATTATTTAGACATTTACCACTTTCACTGGTCTCTGATACATTACTATGACATTTACCACGTTCACTAGTCTCTGATACATTATTATGACATTTACCACTTTCACTGGTCTCTGATACATTATTATGACATTTACCACTTTCACTGGTGTCTGAGATTGTTCCATATGTCCCAGATGTGTTACTTCTCCTCAAATAGTTGTTTTCATTGGCTAGAAAAACAGAAAATATCCTTGAATATCAGCGAAAGAAATTGTTTGAGCTTTCAACTATGTTGTTAGCTGAACACTTAAAAATATTATATTGAAAAGTAAACAAGTTTTTTTTAGATTTGAAGTTAATGGTAATATATAAAAAAACTCAATTATTTTTTATCAAGTAAACAAAATAAAAAAATGTGTTTATAGTTCATGTGCTTGTTTTTTTTTTCAATTGAAGCCTGCAAAGTTAATGAACAGTTCTAAAATTGTAACAAAGGAATTAAACTTTTGTAAAAATTGTGAGCCTTGGTTTTGGACACAAAAAAAGTTGAATCTTCCAACAACATAAAAGTTCATGCGTCCACCAATGTTAATAAAATAGTTAATGCAGTGAGAAGAGACGCTACATTTGGTTGTTGCCGTGAAATATATGATAGAGTGCATGGATTCAGTTGAGTTATCGTGAGGTTGCACATTTAGTACTTCCCATACCATAGGAGAGGAAAAAATTTATTATTGAGGCATTAGTGACAAATTTCTTTCCCTTCTTCTGATCTTTTTTTTTCAATAGGGACTTGTACCCATTCTATTTTTTTTCTTTGATTTTTTAGGATATACAAATATTATGTAAATTTAATTTATAATTTTATTACTGTTCTTTGTTGAGCACATTAGCAGAAAGGTTTGAATTTGTATTTTTCTGATAATAATTAAAGCTTAAAATATATTGTTTTATTTGACACAAATTGTTTGTGGCTCATTAATCTACTGAAAAGATTGATCACAGTCCACCCTCTTATAATTAGTTGGTTAGGATTAAGAAAAGTGTACAGTTTATAGATAAAATGTGCTGTTAAAATATTTTTTAAACATTATAAATATATTAAGTAGATATTGATTAAATGAAAATAATTAAATTTTAAATAATTAGTGTACTAAGTGATTTGCAACAACAATTTTTATATTTCTTTAACTGTAAATTTAAGTTCACAGTTTCATGGGAAAGTTACACAAGTAATATTTTAGACAACTAAACATAATACGAACGTATAAAACACTATTTAAATCTCTAGTACCAACTATAAAACCTATAATACATCAACTATAAAACCTATAATACATCAACTATTAAACCTATAATACATCAAATATAAAACCAGAGGAAACATTTTTGTTGCACATTTTAAAAGAACATTTTCATTCATAGAAATTGAATAATTATGAAATGTGGCCTTCCTTTTCCTACTTTTGTGCAATAAATGTAACATGCTCTTTAAGCACAAACTGGCAATGAGAAGCAACACAGTTACAATTTAGCCCTGATAATATTTCAGTAGAGCGGTGTTGATCAACTATTACCTAATTTTGATCCGTTCTTTGATATAATATGTATATATATATTCTAATAAAGGCAGATCAAAGGGCTGGCCATAACATACCAGACCCTGATATATAGATGCATATATCATGCATTGATCATTTTTTGTTCTTGCATATCTTGATAAGATAACCGCTCCAACACAGTACTAGAAAATAATTAAATAACTTTTTTTTTTTAAACAAGAAGATTATAGTCAGTGAAATAGCTCAAGTGTCATTTCTCTTAATGTGTTATTAAATTTTTTAATAATAGAAATAGTGATACATGCAGCTAAAATGCACTGGTCTAGCTAAAAATATAACAGAACTGGGGCAGTGTATAATTATTCGGCTGAAAATCGTAAAGGTGGTAAATTTTGTGAACATTATTGAGATGATACAATTATGCACAACTCAAGACCCTACCACAACTCACAACCATTGGGCCCAAACTCTGAACGGACTCCAACTCAGGGAGCTGACCCAATACGTAGGCCTTCTGATCCAAAATTAGTTTTTTATTTAGCCAAATGGAATAAAAGAAAATATTTACTTCCAGGTAATTGAACATGCCCCAGCCTATTTTGAATAAAAATAAATAACCCTTTTGGCCTGTCTTGAACAATCTCATAGATTTCAATTCATGATCTGGAACTGATTCAAATAAATAACCCCTTTGGCCTGTCTTGAACAATCTCATAGATTTCAGTTCATGATCTGGAACTGATTCAAATAAATAATCCAAGTTTTTCAAAAAATATTAGGAAAGGAAGCAACTTTAAAAGTTGTTAATGTGTTTTATTTATTTTATAGATTTGGGGGGACCAATAATTCCACTGCACAAACATTTTCGTGTATTAAATTTACAAAAATAAAAACAACTTAGGAACATGAAAAAGTAGCCAGCTACATGACACTGTTAAAAAATAGGTGCTAATGCAAGTTTCTACGAAGCAAAATAAATAAACAGAAAATTCCAGTCCCACAGAGTAAAAGCAGTGCTGTACAACCTTTTTGACTAAGTGGGATGAAAAAAATATTTCTGGGGACCCGAGGGCCGCATATGACATCTCAAAATAAAATTATTTGTGTTATTAATACTTCTTAACTTGTCCATAAAGAGTAATGTATCCAAAAGCAGTATCGACTCATCAAGAACATAAGTAAAGCAAATAAAAACTGTAATCCTTTTTAATGATATCTTTTGCTTTGAATTGTACATGCAATTTTTTAAATTTGAGGTAGTTATCAGTGGCACCTGCCCTCTTTGGATTTTGAAATGTTCTTTTGATTAGATTTTGGTCATTACAGAGAATCCAGCTTCACTGATGTAGGATGCTTCCAAAAACACGGTCAAAATTTAAAAACAAAATTTTTAAAGTTGTGGATATTCATCAGAGGAAACACATGATTAATAATTTATTTGGCCATGCATTCTTATGTATGTTTAAAACAATTTTTTTTTTCAAGAATCGTTCCTACTGTCTCTCACTAATCTGATTGAATTGCATTAACTACAAGCAATCACAGCATGTATCTACTCATTGAACGTCTCATAATCTGATCTCAGAATACCAGGTTCCCAACATCAAAACAATAAAGGATGGCGAAACACTCTCCCATACTTGGCTAGACTATCTGTTTAAATAGCATAGTGCCATAAATGGTTCACACTTCTCATCGTGGTCATTCTATTTTGACACGTTTAGCACCACAGCTACATCTCAAATTACTCAAACCCAAAGGCTTTCCTGGCACTAGTTAAGTCGCTATGCTCACCTATCTATTTTATCTAACTTGGTCCTGTCTGTGGGCACCTGCACATTTTTACGATGACCAAATAGTCACACATCAGGTTACTTTTGGTTTCCCTATTCATCTTTACCAAAGCCGTTAGCAATTATAACTGATACTCCGTGACACCTTCCCTGTACAAGCAACATAAAGAAGTAGATTTTATGTCACCAAGCTTCCCAAATGGTTGCGCTGCCGATGTGCATAAAATAAATTACTTCTATTTATCAAGCCATAGCCCTCCTTGGTTTTGTGACCTCTCCCTTTTCCATGTTATGACTTCTCTTGTACTCTCACATGATTTCCCAACAGCACTGAATCAATCAATGTGGTTTAATAATATTGTCACCCCAAAATGTTTTATTTATTACACACATCATTAGAATTGCTCAAGCTGTGGCGAGCCATTTAAAATCAAGCTGCATGTGGCCCTTGGGGGTTGGACAACACTGCTGTAAAGTGTGCACTGTTAGGTTTAGGAAATCAGCATAAGAAGAAATACATAGGATTATGTTAATATGAACCTTGTGTACCGACTCTGTGTTCATTAATATTCAATCTAACTTTTAGAGCACGTGGAAAATTTGGATTTACATGCACATAGAGATGTCCTGCAAGGGGAAAAAATGAAAATTGTTACCACTTTTGATAACATTGCAATAAGTTGATTACTTGCATAACATTTGTGCAGGACGATAAATCTGAGGTCGATATAAAATCATATATAAAGGAAATCTAAAAATATCCACTAATATAGAGCCTTGTACAAGAGTCCCATCACTACTATAGAAACGTGCACAAGAGTCCCATAGAACATCTATTAACACATCCATGCAGGATTGAACACCAAGAAAGAAAAACAAAATCAGCCGCTGTTTACCAGGAGCTGTCAAGACATTGGGCAAGCTGTTTTCAAATAGATAGCGAGTTTGCTCTGTTGAGGAAAACATTTCAGGTCAGTGAATCTTTGCCAGATTAACCCTTGGAAGTTCTATACAGCCCTGACTTACTTAGAATAACCCATGGAAGTTCTATACAGCCCTGACTTACTTACAGTGATAATTATGTAGTGAGAGCTCAAAGGACCTAAAGTGTTAAAGGATTTGAGTAACAACTTTAGCCTGGGAGAAATAAGACTGAAAAGTGGCCAGTTATTTTGGGAGTTGGATCAAAATTTTAAATCTCATTCTGAGACTTGCAAAGTATTTCTGCATTATTGTGACCTAATATCTTAAAGCTGCTTGCAAACTTATTTAATATTAAAATAACATATTACATTTCCCTGAGATTTTCTCATATACCTCTAATCTTTAATGCCCCAAACTACACCATATTGAAGGTTTCAATCTCTATACAACTGACAAGAATATTAGAAAAGGGCTGAGTTGACTCATAATAAACTGGCATTGATAATAGAAGGAATGTTTTAAATAAGCTTTACGTAGAGAATATAAAGAGCGAATGCAATATATATCATAAATGCATATTTTAAAAAATAGGTGCTCTATATTTATTGAGGATGATTTTTCTTTGCAATGCCAGGAATAAATTTAGAAATGTAAATAAATTTCATTGCAGTCATTGCAAACATAAGAGCACACAATATTTCTTATCATACATATCAGATAATAGGTTGCATTTCAATGTTTCATTAAAGCCGAAAAAAACCCACTAATTTTTAAAGAAATTTTTTAAGGATAGTCCATATAATCCTCATACTCTCTTGAGCTGTTATTCATGAGATCATAATACACAAAGTATGTGTGTATGGTACGTCAGTTTTTTTTCTTTTCGAGAATAGGTATAACTTTTTTTAAAAATTAAAATTTTTATTTTGAATAAAAATTTTTAATGAATCAGGAATTAATTAAAACTGATAGATTCACAAAATATTAAACTTATATCACTTTCAGGATGAAGGTCCTGAACAACATCTTGTAATGAAAAAGTGGTTCCTTGGGCTCTTTCTATAAAATTTTATATCATGTTATATCAATAGAAAGATTTAGAGTTTTCATTCAGTTTGAATTTAAAGTGGCTTTCTCAAACAGAAAGACATTCATATCTTTACATGTTATTAGATAAATATATAGACACTTATTAATAAAAAAAATGTTACCCATTTCATCCTGTGTGAGATCATCAAGTCCTTTGTGAAGTTCACTAGGGAAATAAGAAGTCACATTCATTAAGGTTCAGAAATACAAGAATGGATTTATTTACAGAAATACAAGAATGGGTTTATTTCCATAAAACTAAAACTGCAACACATAAACTTTTCAAACCAGCAACCTTATAAAAAAAGTAAATGCTTCCCATAATGCATTCCATCCCAACATGCCCATAACAAAAAACGATTGTGTGGACATTGCTTTAAAGCTCATCAGAATAATACATCCAATAAAAGTGACAAGATACTTTAAAAAAAACAACACATTATTTGAAGCATAAGTCATTTTTATGATTAATTATTATCAATGAGCTCAAAGGCTTTTAAATAATGGTAATAAATAACAAAACTTCTGTTTAATAATCATATAGATTTTTAAAATATTTGAAACATCAGCTTTGCCTTCTTGTAGCTTCCAAATCTAATATCAGTCCACTATTAACTTGGCATTTCCCTGAAGATTTTTATGCCCTCTTTTCAAGGAGCAAGAGAAGATAAGAGAATATCATCTACTGATCGACAAATGGTACATATTTGTTTAACACCAGGCACCACATATACTCTTCCACATTCATCTTTAATGTTAAGAGCTGAGACGTAGCAACACACATTTAAATAAAAATTACAGTCAATATATTTATGGCAGTAAATTGAGACTTTAACTTTAAATAACACTGCAGTGACTTACAGTTTTGCATATAAAACAGAAATTGCGAAGGCGATCAAATAAAAAAATAAAAATACGCCAGCTGCTGCAAATGTTGCTTTGTAGTACTGGGCACCTAGAATATGAGATAAAAAATATATATTTAATACTGGGCATGTAGGATTTAAGTTATATTTATGTAGAACTCTGCACCTGGGATTTTAGATATATAAATTTAGTACTAAGCACCTTGGATATTAATATTAGAAATATAAATTTAGTACTGAACACCTAGGATATTAATATTAGATATATAACTTTAGTACTGGGCACCTAGTATATTAATATTAGATATATAAATTTAATACTGAACACCTAGGATATTAATTTAAGATTTATAAATGTAGTACTGAGCGCCTAAAAAATCAGATAAATAAATTTAGTACTGGGGGAGTAGCTGGGATCTAGGATTGATAATGTAGTACCAGGCTTCTGGGATATGAAATATATAAATGAATTACTGTGCACCTAAGATATAAGATAGATAATTGCAGCACTAGGCACCCAGGATATTAATATTAGATATATAAATTTAGTACTGAGCACCTAAGATATTAGACTTGAAGCTCATTTTTTAATTATGAAATTAAATTGAAAATTATAAATAATTATCAGCATCATGTAAAAAAAAAATGTAGGGTTTCATATTGTTGGTAAGCTTTAATTTAGTTATCGACAGTAATACATATAGTTGCAGTCCTTTGCCAGATGCATTGCAAAAATGTGGCAAGTCAAGGCATGTGCCTTGGGTATCACTTTACTTGCATTCTTTAAACAGAATTTTGTAGTCGATTCAAGCCCTAAAACTCTCAAAACCTGATGTAAGTCTCCAATTTACAATTTCATTGTTCAGTATGGAGATGACAGTGTTTCCTAATCTCGTCATCACTAATCATATAGCTGGCCATGAGATCTCTTTTAATAATAAATTTTTCTTATTTGAGGCCTCCATGGCAAGACAGAGAGACTATGATATTATTTTTTTAAGTATTTATAACCATTGATATAACTGACATTTTAGTAATGTACAAATTTTTGTATTCATAAGTTTGTATCATTGTGTCAATAAAGATACAATCTCTAGGAGTGTTTAAGTCAAAATTTATTTAATTTGTTTCCTTCTAAATCTTATGGAAAAACTAGATTACATCTTGCCTTGGGTGCCATATGGCCTCTCTGAGTCACTGTCCATAGCGTGATGCTGCTGCTCCATTTAATGTATGAATCACATCAACACTTCTCCTCACATCTATTCCTTCTCTTATCTAGCATTCTTTTTTTTTTCTTTTGGGACATATCTTTTTTTGTGTTTGTGAGAATTTATTTTCACACTCCATGTTGGCTACTGTCTTTCTACTTTGGTGGTTTAGGTTATGGACTCGGTGTTCTCCTCCCTAAGATCACTGACATTACTGGATTGACTAATCCATTCCCCCGGCTGTTTGCCCAGACATGCCACCATTGCACTAACACTATAAGGCCAATTTTCTGACAATCACTTTTCAGTATAGAGATTGTATTGATGATAAACACTTATGATGACTTCATCCTTTTGCAATCTTTTTTTTAATAAGATACAAAGCCAAGTTCATTTTACTTAATATGTTTTATTTTTATTTTTTGCAAACAAAATTCAAATACTGAGCTAAAAATATTTTTAAAATTAACCACTTGAAAGTTAAGCATTAAGTTTCCCAATATTTTTGTTACCAGAAATACTTACTTGAAATAGTTTCCTTAATCTCAACTCTCACATCCTTTTTCTTCTCACTCTGACCAGGGGGGAGAATCTCTGCAGGTGCCAGGTAGCCCTCACACACTTCGTTGTTTGGCTTCACAATAAACACCACATAAAATCCTCCAAGTTCTGAGAAGTCATCTTTCTGAAAATTGGAAATTTTATCATTACCTTCGTAGAATAATGCCTTAAAAACTTTCAATGGCTTTATATTAATTTTGAGATAAGTATATATATGGCATCCTTCCGTCTTCGCAAGATGATGGAGTAGCTATGTAGTCCTACACTTCAACGAGGCTAATCCTGGAATGATAATCTCGACTGCATTTCTCACAGGAGAATATTTATCCCTGGTTAGATTTGGTCTTTCGTATAGTTCTTTTTTTTTGTAAGGGCTTCATTTGGCACATCTTCTGCCTAAGTAGGTGTAACTTCAAAGATGCTTTTCAGAGAATTAAATATCATGATCATCCTATAGCTAACCTCGCTACTTTTATTTGCAGCTAAACAAAATGTCAATTTCTAAAACAGGCCTAAAATTATTTGCAACAAATCAGATTTCAGCACTTAAACACGCATTTTAAGGTAATATATAAAACCAAGCGTAATTATTTGTGATTAATTAAATAAATTATTGTTTATGAAACAGATTTGATGCAGAACTCCTTATGCCAGAGATTGCATTTCATTTGCTGTGCATTCCAACTGGTTTATAAATTAAATTGTGCACCTTTCATTTGAGAATAGAACTTGATGTCCCTTAAAATCATTTTTTCCATTTCATTTCAGCTCTTTTGTTTATAGAGAGCTGAAACCATTTACATATTATTTTTGTTGTTTACCTCTAAGAACATGGCAGCTTGTGTTGACATTGTCTGATGTTGACCTTCAAAGTTTACATTAGTCTCCAAGTCAAACACAGGGCACTGGGGTGAAATAGTTGTGAAAGACATAAAGTTTGTATATAGTTGAGAATGTCATAAAGTTTGGATAAAATTGTGAAATTCATATAGTTTGGAAATAGTTGAGAATGTCATAAAGTTTGGATATAGTTGTGAAAGTCATAAATTTTGAATATAGTTGCAAATGTCATAAAGTTTGGAAGTAGTTGCAAATGTCATAAAGTTTGGAAATAGTTGCAAATGTCATAAAGTTTAGATATAGTTGCAAATGTCATAAAGTTTGGATATAGTTGTAAAAGCCATAAAATTGTGATGAAGTTTTTAAAATCATGATTAAATTCTTATGACCGCCATATGACGTTTTAATACAATAATAGTAACATATTTCACTTATTGAGTGTTTGTTTAACACAATGAAAACATTTAATCCCTGGATTTGAAAATTCAGTTATACATTTTGACAAATTATATTTTTCTTAGCATGATTTTAAGGCAAGCAACATAATACTGAGAAAGTTAAACAGAGCAAAAATAGAAATAAATGTGAATGATATATGATGAGATTTTACTCAAAGTCAATATAGTCTTTTAAGTAAATACCTCATGCAAAACTTTTTAGCTTATGAAGTGCCCATAATTCTTATATGGGTTATAGTTAAACTGAATCCAAGGACATATGATATTCAGACTCATATTTTGAGACAAAGAAAAAACATTGTAAAATATAAGCACATAAAGACAGATAGCATGATCACCATATAGCATTAAGTCTGATTTGTTTTTAATTTTCAAAAATCTATTTTGCAACATCCGTGACACAAAACTTTGATGTCCAGAGTCAACGCTCTTTTTAAAAAAAAAGAGCTTCTGTTCAATTTTGGATCTTTCAGGTTTTCCCCAACTCTGTATGTTACATTCCATAGACAAAGTAGTGATGTTATTTATATCAATGCTGTTTCCATTTAAATCAGATATTTTACATCACCAATTTTTTTTAAAAAACTATGTACAGTTAACTGAGCTTCTACATTAAGTGTCTCAAACTATGGCCTCATATAGCCCACCAAGTGTCCTTAACCCAGCCCACCTTGGTAGCAATGAAAAAATATATAACCGTGCATTGATCGCCTCATTAACTAAAATTAGGCCAATACTTCCCATTAAAATACTAATAAGCTTGTGTGGATTAAAATTGCTTTCATTTTATACATTGTCTTGCTTTTTTTCATTTTTGTTTTCTCAACAATTAAGACATGTGCAGTGTGCTAATTAGTTCAGTTTTTGTTCTCAAAATATAAACTGGCCTTCAACAGTGCATGAAGACATTGAACTGACCACTTTGTTAAAAGGTTTGAGGACCCCTGCTCTACAATATCAAAAGTAGCATCAGTAATAAAGAGTAAAACAATTATTTTTTTAGCCATAAAAACTGAGATGATAACAATACATTGATATGATACCTTTATTTTCTGTACAGACACTGTCATGCAAGTGTGTGACGTGGAGGTTACTTTCAGAAGCACGGCTGAAACCGTTTCTGGGAATGTGTACATGTAATACATCGGTTCCGAGACACTCAAATTTAAGGAACGAGAAACTTCATGCCTAAAAAGTACAACAGTTATTATTTATTGTGAATAGATAAAAAACCTATTATAATTGTAGGTCCTGCTGTTTATTTTGAAATTAAAAAAAGAAAATGTTACTAAAACTGAACATTAAAAAATAATAACTACAAGTAATTTTTGTGGCAGCAGTAAAGGCAGAGACTAATGGATATCAGAAATAACTTGCTGTAAGATTGATATCAGATAAATAACTTTCTGTAGGATGGATATCAGAAATAACCAGCTGAAGGATGGATATCAGAAATATCTTGCTGTAGGATGGATAGTTTTAATAACAGCATACACGACTCTCATTACTCTGATTTTAATACCAACAAAAATGTATACATCACAATTTAATCTTGTTCAAAAAAAAAAAAAAAAAGAAATAAAGAAAGAAAAGCTTTAACTTATTGGGAATGGATAGATTGTATTGTAATAAACTCATTTAAAAAAAAAAAAAAAAGATGTCTGTAAGATTAGGTAAAAATTATATCAACTTACTCAATTTCAAAATCCTTAAGATCATCTACCGACAAATCAAAACCAACACTATCATTTGACATGGTGGACACAGAAAGATAAATGAGCTGATCTTTTGTGATGGATTGTCTGTGGCTCTTGTCAATGGGACACAATGTACGACTCACTGAATAATATGAGTAACTGAAAAAGTGAAAAGCAAAAAATATTTCATCCCACTAACAAATGAGTAAAATTAAATTTTGCATTTCCGATAATCAAAACTTTTCAACAAAATTTGTTCAGAAGCGTTATCATCAAAGATTTGACATATTTATGGTGCATTGTCACAGTGGCACTTGAAGCATTTTTTTTTACCTTGAGTTTTATATTACCAAACGTCCTTATGTCATTTTTTTTTCAATATCAAATTTAGTTGTTTGGTTTTTTTTGCCATTTGTGTTTCAGTACCCTATTTATCATTTAATTCAAATAGCAAACATATGATTTAAAATTTTCCAATTACTACTCTAATTATTGTGGTGGTGACATAGAATTATTAGCCCCTCAATTTTAAAAACACCCAAAATTTGAAGAAGACAACATAGACCACTGCCCCCCCCCACCCCCCAAAATGTCTGCTGTCTGCTGGGAGCCCTCATAAAGTTGTGGTCCACAACAAAAGCAAATGTCTGGGAATGCTCAGTTACCAGCCCGGAAAAAGTGAAAATAAAAAAATTAGCATAAATTAGATACAGGCCCCTGCTGCTATGTCAATTATTCTTGCTGGTTTGTCACACTTAAGAGTTTGAGCAGCACTTATTTAGAAACATGGTGACATAGAAGTATGTCCATTGTGTTTCAAGTACTTGACCAAGGTCTTTCATCATTTTCTTGATGTAACATCAGAAATACATATTTTTAAGTTTCAGACAGAAAAATGCAGGTTTATTTTAAAATTATTAAAAGAAATTTTTCTTTTTTTTTGAGTTGGTCAGGAGGGGGTTGGTGTTAGAGGAAAAGACATGTAAATAAGCAAACTGCTGCTTTAAATACTTTTGATCACTTATGTATCTTTAACTGTCTAATGAAAAATGACCTCAGAAGGGGAGACCACTCATTAAAATTTATTTCAAAGCTGACCATCTTTACCTATCACCTATTTCAAGAGGAATCTGCCATGATAAAAGACTTTCCTGCTGTCTTGCCACAAACATCAAAGGAAAGTCTTCTGAGGCTGAACTGCACTTCAAATTAACTCTGACTGCTGTTGTCTGAAATTTAAAGACAGTTGTATTAGAAATGCAGTCCAGATAGTAAACTTTGAAGACAAAAAAATAATCAGTTTAGTAGGCTATATATTAATACAAAATATATTTCAATGATAATGAATATTCATTTGGTTCTTTTTTTTTTCAACTACATTTTAAAAGATTTTAGTTTTTTTATATAATCTAGACAATAATGTGCTTAAACTACCAGGCGAATGAAAGTTAACCCACAAAAAACATCAAATGACATTATTCAAATTAAATTGCAATTCTTTAATTTAAGTTAATTAAGGACACATTTTTTTTCTTTTTTTCTGACCTTAACAAGAACAAAATGTATGTATGAGTATGATTAAGCTCTTAAAAAAATATGTAAAGACAAAGGTTAGAGGTGGCTATGAATTCATTACTTTGGGGTTGTTAGTGTTAAATGTCTATCTGCTATCTAATCTAGCTTTGGAGGCCTAGGAGTGTGATTGTGAATATGAGGCATTCATCAAAGTTCAATCACACAGTAGTGTAGCAAGTCTTGGTGCCAACAAGTCTTCTGGCACCTCACTTTCACAAAAAACTCTACATTTGGTTAATTATGCCGCCCCTAAATATAATAAAGAAGTAAAGTGCTGCCTCTGGCAGATCACCCCCCCCCCCATTTACTACGACTGCATACACAATAAGACAGTCTAAAAAATATCAAAAGAATATTAAGATTTCTTATCTGAAACTCAAGTGGTTGGGCCATAAAAATGGGCTGCGACTATTGGTACCCAGGTATCAGAAGTGAGAGGTTGGGATTAAAAAATGATTTAAAAATATTTTTGTTGGGTTTGTAAGACAAAATGAGGTATCAAATGAAAGATAATAGAATGTACTATATGTTTATAAACTTACTTCTTCAGTTTAATTAAAATAAGCTACCACAAATGACATCCGAATAGCTTGAGTCTAATTCTAATGGTACCTGGATGCCAATGGCAGCGCTGCGTGTCTAGGTCCATTTTGACTCAGTGCTCTTTGTATGTCATTTGTGGTAATTTATTTTAGTTAAACTGGAGATTTAAGTTTACGAACATATAGTCCATTCAATTATCTTTCATTTGATACCTCATTTATTCTTACAAACCCAACAATAAAATTTTAAATAGTTTTTTTTAATCCCAACCTCTCACTTCTGGTACCCAGGTACCAAAAGCCACTTTGATAAAAAAAAAAAAAGTGATACATAATTGTTACATAGCCTAATTATTATTTTTTAACTAACCTGATTGTCTTCTGAATATTCATAAACAAATATAACCTGTGTTGTTTTGTTGACAGAATAATTTGAGTAGCTTTCACCAAATTTTGCATCAACCGTGAAAGTATTAATTGTGTGACGGTCAAGTTTTAGACTTGCAGAGTAAGATTCTGACACACTGAGAACTCCAGATATTTTTTCATGAACACCAATCGTATGCGTTCTCTGCTCAGTAGCTTTTCCTTTATTTTCATTTTCTATACTTATCCCTGGCGTCCCTGCTATTATTTGTAAACAAAAACAGCTGAAAAGCCAGACGGAGATAATTAGAAACCACAATATATCCAAGTGTCTTGACATTTTTAAACAAAACAGTCAGTCCTTCCTCAAAACAAAAGAATTATGTGCCTATTTGCAATTCAATCTCTGGTGTCCTTAAATGTAAAAATAATACTTGCTTAAAAACTGATTACCAACACGGATGTGGGAAACATTTAATAATAATGTAATTGTTCTCCTAAAACTAATTTTCCTTAAAAACTTTCATCACATGATGTTTTTAATTTTCCCTATTAAGTGCTACCAGACCTTGGGAACATTCCCCAGATCTTGGGAATTCACCACCACCACCCCCCCCCCCCCAAGAGGGGGAAGCAGAGGCGTAGCGGGGGGGGGGCAGGGGGCAGATGTCCCGGGGCGCCGGCTAGTTAGGGGTGCCAAAATGGGCTTTGATATTTTTTTTAAAACCTTCATCACATGATGTTTTTAATTTTCCCTATTAAGTGCCCCCCGACCTCGGGAACATTCCCCAGATCTTGGGAATTCACCACCCCCCCCCCCCCCCCCCCAAGAGGGGGAAGCAGAGGCGTAGCGTGGTGGGGGCAGGGGGCAGATGTCCCCGGGCGCCAGCTAGTTAGGGGTGCCAAAATGTGCTTTGATATTATTTTATTGATGAAAATAATGGGTTTGAGAGTTTAAAAAAAAAAAAGGGGCGCTAAAAATGGATCTTGTCCCCGGGCGCCAAACACCCTCGCTACGCCACTGGGGGGAAGACGGGAATAATTTTGAAGAATCCCAAAAAAATTTAATCTGTGGAAAAATTTGCGTTAAAAAAGTGAGTGTGGGGTATCATTTATTACACAGGCCAAAACTATGTTTGGTGCCTCAAATGTTACTAGGTGTGTTTGTAAAATTGATTCCAAAAATGAAACCCATTTCCACCAATCAGCTCTAGTTTTTGTTGAACGTATGCCATTTTAAGCATGAAACATAATAATTATTATTTTAAAATATTGTGCTACATGAAAATGAAATTAGTTTATACCCAAAGCGCATATTTATTGGAGGTCATCCAAATAGTATGTTCGCAAAATAAAGTCAAATTTTCGACCTATCAGCCCCCCTGTTGCACGCGTACTTTTTATTTAACCCCCCCCCCCCCATTCCCCCATAGCTTTCGGGACCCGTCCTGGAAAAACCAACAGCATCGATAAATCTTTGCATAATTATGACATCACAGTAAAGAAAATGTATCACGGGTTTTCACCGCTGCCACTTTGACGAGCCGAGTGGTTCCCAGAATATACGCCACATCACATTGTATTTCCACTTTTAATCCAATATTCATCTAGCAGTCGTGGCGTAACTTGAGTAACTATTGTTTGCAGTTTCTAGGATGGCGCTAACATACATGTTATTTTTATTTTTACCCAACCATTTATTATTATCTTTTTAAAAAAAAATGTATTCGCTATTTCGAGGTGTACATGTTTTAATTTAACACAGGGCGCCTGGTGAAAACCAAAATTTGGCATAGGCGCTTGGAATCTAAAAATTCTAGGAACCACTGGCGTAGCCCCCCAAAAAAAAATATACGACACATGCAGGATGAAAATCTCCAAAATTGACAACCCCAACCAACGTTCCCTCTAAGGTTTGTTGGTTCGTATGCAAAATCATACAGTTGTGTGCAAAGTTTTACAGCATCAATTTTTTAGTGTGCAAATTTTTACGGCCCACAAAAACAAACACATACTTACATGAAAATTTGCTGCGCGGTACTCAAAACTGCTGCGCGGCGTCTGTGTGGTAGCTGCGCTGCCGCGAAGTTAGAGGTGGAAATTAAAATTTAAAAAAATTAATATTATTGTTAGGCTGTAAGACAAAATTTTGTATCAAATGAAAGATAATTAAATGGACTATATGTGTGTAAACTTAATTCTTCAGTTTAACTAAAATAAACGACCACAAATGACATCCGAATAGCATTGTCTCTAAAGGGACACGGGTCCGAAAAGCGGCGATATGTTTCCGGTTCCATTTTGACTGAAAGGTATTTTGATGTCATTTGTGGTAGTTTATTTTAGTTAAACTTAAGAAGTAAATTTACTAGCATATAGTCCATTCAATTATCTTTCATTTGATACCAAATTTTGTCTTACAAACCCTACAATTATTTTTAAATATTTTTTTAATAAACCCAAACTCTCATTTCTCGGACCCGGGTCCGAATAGCCGCAGCCTCTTTATTATCTGGGGAAATCTAGGGAATTTTGAAAATTTTGGAATGGCAGCACTGGTTTGTGGCAGAAGTCAACAAATGAACACTCTCTACATTTGAAGATCAAATTTATTTATTTAAAATCAAACTCCAGTTGCATCTCTTTTACGAAACGAAATATTTTTGCTTACGTTTTCGCCGCTTCATTAAAACGTCCAACCAAACGTCCATTGAGTCTTAGAATGACACTTTTATTAATAATTTATTAATTTTATTATTAGCATGTAGCAAATACTGTTTCGGGTACTCTTGATGTTATTTAAAGCATAAACACTGGCAAAGAGTCACCAAGAAGATGTCATTCCTTGTTGACTCGATTATTATGGTCTTTTCATTGGCGAGTATAATTAAATTTTTAAATTATAATTATAATTAAATTAAAACTTATTTTATACTTATCAAACTTGTATAAGAAATCTTACATATTTAATTTTATAGGTGACTCTAGACCTAGTACTAACTAGTTGGGCCTCATTTCAATTTATGGTTTAGTCTTTAGTAAATTAGTATTAATACTTAACTTATAAAATATAATTAATAATATAATACTTATACTAACTTATACTTATATAATTAATAATATAAGTTATATTTATATTATATTTATTTATATAGCCTATTTGCCTATCATAAATAAGTATAGGCTACATTGAATTTAGTCTGTCTAGACTAACTAAGCTGCCTAAGCTAGTATTAGTATTATTATAGTTATAGGTAGTAACGAACCCACTCCTTACAGGCTTACTAGTCATTGAATTCCAAGTTATTGTAACTAATTAATAATTTAGAAATGTAATAAATTATTAGACCTCAACTAGTGCTGGCGACCCAAAACTGCAACTAGTATTGTGACTTGTGGGTAAAATATTTTTTTTTTGCTAAATTAATTATTTTAAAAATCTTGAAATATAAATAGATAATTACTACTTAGCCTAATTTAATTAATGAATTATATAATATAGGCCTACTTATACTTACTTAGACTTAGACCATCCTCCATGGGGCCATAAATAATGTCAAACTATTTTAGACAAACACCCCCCCAATAAAAATGAAAAAATAATCGTCAAATCTTTTAAACAAAATTTAACACCCTTGTTGCCTTGTCGCAAGTGTCATTTATTTCAAATGATGGACAAGACGAGTGAGGTGTCTAACTCTAATTTTCTTTTCTAATGGTACTTTTGAAATGTAAAATTTACAAAATATTTACCTACCTTTGGCATTAAATCATTTTAATTAATAGGCTATATATCTGAAATAAAACTCACTACATTATCAGAATATTCCTCAAAATATTACTTGCGTTCCAAAGTGTCTCTCAAAGAATATTACAATCACATGCACTATTGTCCAAAAGAATTCCAAAAATTATTGTAATATTTTCACTTGTGATCTAAAAAAAACAAAACCATTCCAAGTATAAGCACTTCATTCAAACCATTATCTAGGTACAAGTAGATTTTAATGTATAGTAGACCTATATGGATTATATGGTTGAATTACAGTTTTCTTTAAAAAATACCAAAATATTGCTTGAACCTAGTAACGAAACCATATGTGTTTATCATGTGAACCGGCATGTGAGAATCACTGTGAACCCATTTTATTGCTTTCTTATTTGAGTAACTAGAACCACACCAAATTTGAGCTTTTATCTTGAGGTTTATTGGTTAATAATAAAATTCACTCACTCAAACAATAATATTTTACCCTACTTGAATTTGACCTAGCCTAGAAATGTAGATTGAGTTTTGAGGCTATTGAATATATATATGGCTATTGAGCATTGTTTTGGTTTAGATCTTCAAAGGCTGTAGGGTCTAGGGTAAGGAGACCATTTGTACTGTTTTTACCAGTACAGTGCTGGTTTTTATACATTTTTACTTTTTAGGCATGATTTTTAACCAATGCAGTTAGAGAGTACAAAATAAAAGTGGATTAATTCAACATTAAGATTGAATACATTCTGATATCCAGAAATAATTAAATAAAACAACTTTAAAAAAAAAAAAATCATCCAAATGGAAAACTTCAAATCATCTTCAAAGGAAAACTTCACAGACAGACAAGTTCTCCTTGTAACCATGAATACTTTTTTATTTTTGGGTATGATTTAAATTTAAATGTCCTGGTTTTAAATTGAAAAAAAGGCATCTAGCATAGGGCCTATATAAAATATAACATATATCTTCTTTAGCCACCAACGCTAAAGTTTGAGGCAAATATAATCCCCAATCATTGATTTGATTAATTCTTTTGCTACTAAACATGTTTAAGCATACTAAAATCTGTTAATACATTAAATGATTTTATTTATTGTATTTTAATTTTGTCATAAAAAAAAAATAATTCAGGTCTTATTCTTTGGTGGAGGATGGGTATTCTTTCTTAAGCAGTTATACAGAGACTATGAGGTGAGATTATCACATCATAAAAACATTGTCTGAGCTCCATAATAATTTTGACATCAAATATGAGATGTATGGAATCCATACACCTTAACAGGCTTTTTTAGAGTTTGAAAATCATTTAAATATAATAGTGATAGAATATTGTCCTTAGTTATTGAATCATCTGTATGTCATTAGCTTTTGATAAATTAAATCAAAATACTGCACTCAGGTCCATCACTCTGTTGTGCTGTTGGTTTTCTCTACAACATTTGCCCTTTCGTGCATCATGTTTGAATTGATCATATTTGAAATACTTGGAATTATGGAATCAAGGTAAGTTTTTTTAATAATTAAAAAAAAAAGGAATTAGTCAATGTTATATCATTTTCACAAATCATTTATAAACTTAAAGTACATTGGCCTCAGAGTAAATATTATTTTAAAGAGATAGAGCTGAAAGACATTAAAAATAAGTGCCTATTAGCAAGATAGAAGTATTAAATGGCTGGTTTCTTCAATAAAATTAAAATAAAAGGATATGAAGAGTCTCCTAAATCCTCTCATTCCACCCCTCCACCTCAGCCTTCTTCCCCCAAACTCTCAACTCCATGAAGACCATTCCCTTATTTTATTCCCCACCTTCTCCCCCATTTATAACTGTTCTGTCAAAGCTGGAGCCTAATAAAAATTCTGCTCCTTACGTTCCCCACTATCTCCTCAACTACCACTAAGACTTCTCCCACTTCAAACGCCGCTCTCACACAACCCACTTGCGTATTCTTCCCTGTCCCCTTCCCTTAACTCTCGTCTCACACCACAACTTTCACCTAAACCCCATCACAAAATTCACCACCCTCTCCCAATCCTCTCCCGCCTGCCTACCCTAATACAATTTGTACTACTGCTGCTAACTCAGTGACTTGTGAAAGATAATGTACAAGTCAGTGATGTCTTTTCATTGTTTTTTATACACGGCACATGCATGAAGTTTTAGCTTCCTTAACCCATAATTTATTCTATATTAACTTATTTAATAACTTCACCTCAGGCCTCTCAACACATCTCTTAACCAAATTAAGAAAAAAACTATAACTTTTATTATTAGTAGTATTTAATAACAGACGGCTTAGGAATCATTTCAGTATTTCTTAATATTTATTTAGACATACATGAATGTGTCTTTATCTTAATAGCTCTAGATTCTTCCACTGGAAATTGGGTCTATATGCTATACTATTTGTATTGATAGCTGTTCTGCCATACTACATTGCCTACTATCTTATTCAGAATATCCGAATAGGTAAGTCAAACTTTTGAAGTATTTTATTTTTTTTAAAAATGTTCTTGAATTTTAAAAATGATACGTTGTGCTTACTGAGTTGAAACAAATGTATGAAACTTTTAACACCATACCTTGAAAAATATTGAATGTCATATTAACAAGACAACTCAGAAAGAAAGAAAATCATTTATTAAACTTCATGGGTTATTTTTGGATGTTTTGTAATCTACACAGTTCCACAAAAGCGACACTTTAGAGTGGTCATAGCTGCAGGGGCCTGGTGCCTGACTTTGTATCTTTTTTGGAGAGTTGGAGACCCTTTTCCTATCCTCAGTCCTAAACATGGTGAGCCACTTTTAATGCATTGCTCAATTTCTTTTTAAATTTTATCATTTGACACTTATCGTTATACATAATTTGTGTTTGTGAGTGGGGACAGAAGAGGTAAATAATATTTAATGCTATGCCCCTGTTTTTGAACTTCAGTGGTTGAGGTGTTTTATTAATTCCCAAGAATTGTTGTCATTCCACTCAGAGTGTAGAGATTTGAACAGGCTACCATAAAATCACAGTGTTTCCCTCATGGGGCAATATGAATACTATTTGGAAGGGGGAGGAGGGGAAACATCTGTCAACACAAATTTTTAACAAGGTAGTGATTTCGACTCAAACATTTATTTTATAATGTTATCATTCTGCCTTTCAAATATTACAATTATTCGGTCTTAGGCATATTCTCCATTGAACAATGTATTGGACGAGTGGGAGTTATTGGTGTAACTCTGATGGCCATTCTTTCTGGTTTTGGTGCAGTTAACTGCCCTTACACTTATATGTCATACTTTATAAGGTATCTAACTGAACATTAAATCTTTTGCATATAGAAATTATAATCCTTATAATGTACCTAAAAAGTGCTATATAGTTCTATTTTAATGTGCTTCATTATAACTCTTTAGATTACCGGTATGACTCAAAGAGCTTTCTATCTAACATTTGAGATGCACAAATTAATTCATTTATAGAACATATTGAGGAGAGTGATACCCATTTCCACCGTGGGAAAACACAATTTTGACAAGTAATGAGAGTTTTGAAAGGAGGAAACACCAACATTTCAGAAAATTATTTTTTATCGTGAACTTATAATGTAATTACTACAACTAAATTTCTGTTAGGCACGTGACAGAGGCTGACATACAAAGTATTGAGAAAAGACTACTACAAACATTGGACAGAATTATCTCCAAGAAGAAAAAGTGAGTTCAACACCGACACAGACGCAATACATACATTTTTAACATATTTAAATTGAAGTCAAGTTATTTTTCAATGATAACATAAAACCTTGTTTTAAATATCATTAAAGAGATGGATTATTTATTTTTTGAATTTGTACTTTTCACTAAGAGATGACCACTACAATAATGATCACATGCATGATTTCACTCTGTCAATATTAATTTAGAACCTGACAAAGTTACTTGTATTCATATTTCTGTTGATTTATTTAAAGTAACTTGTATTCATATTTATTTTTGTTGAAAGAATTGCCTTGTCTCAAAGAGAAAGCCTGAGACAGGCCAGTTTGTCTACTCCGTCAAAGGGTATCTGGGGATTGTTAAAGAGTGCTGCAACAAGTGTTAGTGCCACGACTGAAAGTATCCTTTTATCAACAACAACATTAGGTCCATCCAACCAGTTCTTTAAGATTTCATAAAGAGGCATTATTCGTAAAGTTAATGTGATTTTTTAAAATTATTAATTTTTAAAATGATCTTATTGAATTAAAAATAGAAGAAAAAATAATATACAGTTCTTAAAGTTTTGTGATGATGAAAATCATTGGATTTTCTAGGAATACCAATATCAAAATATATTTTTATTAGCTATGAATTATTGGCAGCATTACTAAAAAATCTAATTGATTGACTATGAATATTATTATTAAGTTTTGAAAATTGTTGCAATCTTCATTTTTTAAAATCCAAGTCAAGTGTTACTTAAACGTTAGAATCTGAGATGGCATTATCCTGTTGGCAGCTTGTAATATTTTCTCTCAGTTTGGTAGCAGTAGTGTAATATTTGTTCAGTTAACAAGTATACTTCATATTTAATTAAATAGAAAAACTTCCTTTTTGGAAACTGTTTGTATATTGCTTAACCTTCCAAATACTTGGGACCACTTAAACAAGAGACGAGAGCACTGGAAGAACTGAGTCGTCAACTATTTTTAGAAACTGCTGATCTCCATGATGCAATGGTAAGACTGTCATTTTATATTTGTACTTTTCTTGTTTTTCTATGATACAGTTCTTATATGTACTTTTATCAAGGCTCATATTTTGTTTGTTTTTGTTGTTACAGGACAGAATTGATTACTCAAAGACATTCAAAGGCCGTTATTTCAATGTGATGGGACACTTCTTCTCACTCTATTGTGTCTACAAAATTTTTATGGTAATTTTTTAAAATCTAAAATCAAAGGAATTAGTGTTTCATGTCTTTGATCTACAATGGGGAATATTGCAAAAATTATTGTTCTTGCTTTAAAAAAAAAGTTATGCCTGAAAGGATGGAGGTCATCTGCAAAGAATTTATGTCAGCTTTTATTTGTGTGTTTATTTTTATGAAAATGTAAATTATTTTAATTAATTTTATTTAAAGTGTTCAAATGACTTGAACATAACTAATCATAATTTTTGAGAAAAGGAGACACACATACATCATGTTATTCCTAGGACTTTTCATGCAAATATAATGGGGTGTAAAAAAATATGAACTTATTTTAAAAATACAATTTTAAATCATGATTTCATTTTTAAATTTCATACCTCAAATTGAAGCAAATTTTTGCAAACCAACATTTCTTTCTTTCATTTTCAAGATGTTCAAATTTTTTCAGCACTCTCTTAACTGGTACTCTTGATGAATACTGAATTTTTTTTTTCATTTTACTTATTATAAATTAAATAATTAAATGTTTACCTTTTTGATTCACTCAAGGCAACAATTAACATCATTTTTGATAGAGTTGGGAAAGTTGATCCGGTGACCAAAGGCATTGAGATTGCTGTCAAGTATTTCGGATTTGAATTTGATGTGAGGATTTTGATTCTTTTTATAATGGGATCATTGAAAGCTGTGTGTTTATAACTTCAGTTTTTGTTTTAGGGCTGCAATCAAAGATTTAACCTTGGTTTATTTAAACATGATTTTAAAAGGTATTTACTTTCAAGAAATAATTCTAGAAATAATTATGCTTAACGGTAAGAAAAGAAATGTATTTATTTTCAGATCAAGTTCTGGTCTCAGCAGATTTCCTTTCTGTTAGTTGGTGTTATTATTGTGACATCAATCAGAGGATTTCTTATCACACTGACTAGGGTAACTAATGCTTCATCAATTTACATAGCTTTTGTGCAGTCCTTTTTTTAAATTTTTGGCTACGTAATCAACACATTCTACTAAAAGTTAAAATATTTATTCTGTATCCTATTCTATTACTCTCCTAACTAAAGGTAGACAATTTATAGTAACTTTCATTTGGATAACTTAAAAATTTCTTGGAGTTTTGTGTTACATTTTAAATATTTGACATAAATGTCTTGAGATGTAAATAGTTTTAAATATACATTTGTTTTGTTTTATTTAAATAATGTATGTCAATTAATTTTTTAAGTTTTTTGATTATGTTTGTTAAATTGTATGTACAGTTTGGTGAGTCTAGCCCTAGGCTTGGGTACCACGCTATATAAAACCACGTATAATAATAATAATAATAATAATACTGTAACCAATGCTGTCTTTTTTTTAACACAAAATAATGTGTGTGATTTTTTAATAAAAGGAAAAAAAAGTCTTTTAACAAAAAAAACATATTTTCTTTAAAAAAACAACTAACTATAAACTAATAATTTTAAATGTAGTTAAAAACATTTTAAAGCATAATTACAACTTTAATCAATCATTATGAAGGAAAACCATCAATAATTTGGAGCACTGACTTTGTCATTTCAGTTTTTCTATGCTATTGCCAGCAGCAAATCCTCAAATGTCATTGTGCTATGTTTGGCCCAAATTATGGTAAGTTTTTTTATACTGTATCAACACATTGACAGATAACAATTAAAAAATTATTATCTTCTCAGAGATATTTGTTTGGTCCAAATTATGGTAAATTTTATATGCTACAGACTGCATAATGTAATCAAATTTTGTATGGGTAATCAAATTCAATCGCTTATATTGCTGCTGGGTCTGGATAAATAATTTCATGTGTCAAAGTTTTTTAGCAGGTCCTTAATTAACTTATTCTGAAACATTATGCTGTTGAAATACAGAAGACAGAGTAGAAAAATGGCCACCAATCCAATGTTAGTGGTAAATCATGAAGGTGATCTTATTACTGTTGGTCCTTTGTTTGAAAATGACCAAGGTGTTGAGTTGAGTAGTGGCCTTGACCTGAGCTGTATTTTGTTTAAAGTGATAGAGCTGCTCAATTTGTCAGCCTCACTCTCTCGTCCTTGCCTATTTGTACAAATGGCAAGGCTAAGATGGATGACTGGAAATAGATGATAACAACTACTTAAACCGGGGACATGTTTCGGCTTTTTAACTAATTCAGTAGATAATAATTCATGAGGTGGAGTCAGAGAGTTCGATCACCATTCTGGCAAATATTATAATTTAAATTCATTTTATTCATTAAATATTTTTTGGATTGTTGTAGATTAAAAGTGATTAGCTATAAAAGTGGGGCTGTAAAATAAAACAATCATTTATTTATAGGGTCTTGCTTTTGCATTGCTAGGATTTAAACCCTAGACCACCAGCATCTCTGTTTTGAAATATCACACTGAACCATTTTTTTGTCTTCCATTTAAGGGCATGTACTTTGTGTCCTGTGTTCTACTTATGAGAATGAACATGCCACAAGAATACAGGTCTGTTCTTAACTTGTGCATTTAATTCATGCATATCGTTTTAGCATTTTTACTCTCATAATAGAATTTATCTATTTAGTCAGTGTAAAAATGGGATTTGTGTAATAAATTAGCAAATGTTAACCAATATTAATATTGGTACCATGTTACTTAAGAAGAAAAAAATAATCTGTCAAAAAAAATGTAAAGATTATTTTTTTTATAAATGTGAAGGAACAATATTTTAAATTTGTCTCCCTTTATTAAAGATGCATATTTTTAAACCTTGCTCAAACTTTTGTTTGATCGTTTCATGTAGGCTGATCATCACAGAGGTTTTGGGAGACCTCCAGTTCAATTTTTACCACCGATGGTTTGATGTGATATTTCTTGTCAGTGCCCTGTCTAGCATTGGATTCCTGTACATCGCTCACAATCAGTCGGCCGAGAAGAGTTTACACAGATGAGATCACCAAAGTGTTTTTTTTAAACAACCTTACTTAAATGGCAGGCCCTTATTGAATGCCCTGTCACTTATATATGCATATTTCTCTGTCGCATGGAATATGAATGACAGGTGTGATGAATGAGTAGATCATGTGACCAGATGCCTTGGCATCACTGCTGAGTTGAAGTAATTGTTAAATAGCAATAGCATAGAGTAAGATAGAGTTATTAAAGAGTGAGATAGAGGTAGAGTAAGTGAAGCGTGCATGTGCTGCTAGCAAAATGAGATTTTTATCGTAAGGCTCTCTCTAAATACTCTAATGGCTGTGTGAAAGTTCTGTTCATGATGTCAATCACTGGTGGTTTTTTTGACATTCAAAATTTGGTTAATTCTGGTCCAATGAATTTTTAATATCTCCATGGGGACTCTGGCTAAACACTGGCTAAATTCAGACAGGCTACAGACGTTTTTTTTGTGTGTAAATGTGACTGATGCACTTTTTCTCCCTTCTGATATCTAAACAAAATGGCTGTGTCCAATGTTTTTTTTTACCTTAGAGCCAGTGTTAGATTGAGTCATGAGCACATGTGTTTCATGTAATAATCTTTGTCATGTTATTTTATTTGACTGAAAATAAATTTTAAAAGGAGTAACAAGTTTTACCTTTGTGTCTCCCAATAAATAATAAAAGTTCCATTGATATCAACAACGTCCAGATGAATCCTACAACTCATCAAGTAGAGTAATTTCCTTGTTTATGGACCTGCAGTTTTTCAACATTCCTGATTGTCCAGCTATAAGTAAAGCTGATTAATGATGATGACTACTGGGAAAAGGAACCAGGATTTAAAATCCTGATATCACAATGTTAAATGATCAAATATTGTTCATGAAGTGTATAAAACTAATTGAAATTCATACTCTTATGTGAGTGCACCCGTGCTTATGTATTACATATATTGTCTCATTGTATGTACCGGTATTTGTTGGTTGAAATACATACTATAGTTTGCGATTATGACTTTTGAAGTTTAAAGAAAATCACGTTTCTCATGCAGCTCATCTCCAACCATCTCATCCCAAATTATCTCATCTGCAAACGATCTCATCCCCAACCATCTCATCCCCAACCATCTCCTCCAAAACCATCTCATCCCAAACCCTCTCATCCTAAATTAGCTCATCCCAACCATCTCATCCCCAACCATCTCATCCCAAACCACCTCATCTCAAACCACCTCATCTCAAACCATCTCATCCCTAACCAACTCATCCCAAACCACCTCATCCCAAACCACCTCATCCCAAACCACCTCATCTCAAACCACCTCATCTCAAACCACCTCACCTCAAACTACCTCATCCAAAATCATCTCATTCCAAACAATCTCAACCTAAATCATCCCAAACCATCTCATCCCCAACCATCTCATCCCAAACCATCTCATACCAAACCACCTCATCCCAAACCACCTCATCCCAAACCACCTCATCTCAAACCACCTCATCTCAAACCACCTCATCCCAAAACATCTCATCCCAAACCATCTCATCCTAAATCATCTCATCCCAAACCACCTAATCCCAAACCATCTCATCCCAAACCACCTCAACCTAAATCATCTCAGCCCAAACCATCTCATCTCCAACCACCTCATCCCAAACCACCTCATTCCCAAATATCTCATCCCAAACCACCTCATCCCAAATAATCTCATCCCAAACCACCTAATCCCAAACCACCTCATCTCAAACCACCTCATCCCAAACCATCTCATCCCCATCCATCTCATCCCAAACCATCTCATCCCAAACCCGCTCATCCTAAATCAGCTCATCCCAACCATCTCATCCCCAACCATCTCATCTCAAACCATCTTATCCCAAACTATCTCATCCTAAATCATCTCATCCCAAACCACCTAATCACAAACCATCTCATCCCAAACAATCTCAACCTAAATCATCTCATCTCAAACCATCTTATCCCAAACCATCTCATCCCAAATAATCTCTTTCCAACCACCTCATCCCAAACCACCTCATCCCAAACCACCTCATCTCAAACCATCTCATCCCAAACCATCTCAACCTAAATCATCTCATCCCCTACCATCTCATCCCAAACCATCTCACCCCATTCATCTCATCTGGTTCAAGTCAAGTTCATGTTTGTGTTGTTGTCTGACCCTGTGTCTGACCACTGGTTGAGTTGTGTTGCACTTCATTAAAGTGCTTTAGAACCACATCAGTTGTTATGTATGTTAGTGTCAGAATAATCTAGGGCCCTGTTGAGAAATATGTTAGCCAATGGCCACAGGTGGTCATCTGACACACAAAAAGTATGGACATCAGGATCTTTCATTCTCACTAATTTAAATTGTAGATTTTTTATTTCTAGCTTCTCCCTCCCGCTCCCTCCCTCTCTCCCTCCCTCCCGCTCTCTCCCTCCCGCTCCTTCCCTCTCTCCCTCCCAATGTAGGCAGCTTTTTCGCCATCCATTTATCATTGGGCTAAATAATGATTTTTTTTTAAAAGAAGAATTTTAAACCATAGTTTGAACAATCAGTAAAACAGAAAGACTGTAGATGTCTTTTAAATGGCATTTGGAAAAACTGCAATCAAGTTATAAATTTCTTGACATCTTATAATGTCTATACGGGAACATACTTAAGATGTAATTCAGTCATAGAAAGAATTCAGTTTATGACATTAGCAACTCTCAAAACATCTGCTAGAGAAGAATAAATAAATAAAATCACAAAAAGAGAGTTCTTTTCAAAATGGTGGGACAACTGATGGTCTATGTGCCCATGTGTCAATATGTGATGGTCCATGTGTCCATATGACAATTGATGGTGTTTGTGTCCATATGATATGGCAATAAATGATGGTATATGTTTCCTGATGACAATGAGTGATGGTCTATGTGCCCTGATGACAATAAATAATGATCTATGTGCCCTGATGGCAATAAGTGATGGTCTATGTGCCCTGATGACAATGAGTGATGGTCTATGTGCCCTGATGACAATTAATGATTGTCTATGCGCTCTGATAACAAAATATGGGTATTTGTGCCCTTCTGTGCCCATAATACCACATTAGGATGTTTCAAATGTTTCATATACTGCAGTTACCGCGCCCCACCCCTTTTTTTCCAACATTCACTTAATAATAAAAGTGGTAGTGAACATCGTCTTTTTCATCTTCATATTAATGCGAACACTTAGTAAATGTTCTTTAATCAACACTCGCTTGCAACTCAACCCCAGCACACTCCCTAGTCATCGATTATCCACACACACAATGAAAGATACTAACATACATTTTTTAAAAAAAAAAGCTACACATTAAGAGCAATCATTAAGTTTCAACATGGATAAAAGAGCATTAATCGAGCCAACATAGACTATATGATAGACTTGATCGACTGGCATTAATGAGATGACCGCCCCAGGGTTGAACTGCGTCCCCATGTTGGATATTAACATTAAACGCCAACACACTTTAAATAAAGTCATAAAAGTCCGTAAACGCTCACGTCAAATTGGGCGCATTGCAAGCAGGGATCCTCAATTTATGTTAGTATGGGGTCAGTTAAGATATGAAAAAAAATAAATGGTAAGCTTTTTATCAGTGTTAACGTATAAACATAGTATGTTGTTGTTTTTTTTGCGGGGGTGGGGGGTACATTTTAATAAAAAAGGAAAATGCTTTAAGATAAGCGTTTGGATGTCAGTTCAGATTGGATGTCAGTTCAGATGGCCTCGCAGGATGTCATGTCGTCATCCACTAAAGCGGTCACTCCTACGTACACATGAACATGCGTTGTTTTCGCGGTGAGTTTTTTTATTTGTAGGTTCATGATGGGGACCCAAATGGAATCGTTGGTTTGTGGGAAGGGGTAGGGGAGACTGTGGTGTAGCTAGGTTCAGTGCCACCCGGGGCGGCCAAAGAAAAAACAAAACAACCTCTGCATCTGTCAGAAAATACCACCCTTCCACATAACACATACATTGCAAAACATACCCCCCACACCCTTTTTTTTTTCTTTCTCCAAGACCACTAAGGGGAGAAAAGTGTAACTGAGTTGATGTGTTACTAAAGTATACTAATTTATAGCTGCTTGGGGGTCGCTGCAGAGGTCATCACGCAGTATGGAACATGTGAATTGAATGATAGCTTTACACAAAGATCAAAGACAACTTGTAGTGTACTTGATATTTAGAGTTTAAATATCAAACTAAAATAAAAAATCCTGATCGTATAAAATCACACTATGGGCAGACCAGGTTTTAACCCAACTTGAACAGACTGACACTGAGAGTTGTCAGTGTTGATGAACACAGAAAAAAGTCTCACGGAGTGCGCTCTTTTGAAGCAAAAACTCCAAAATTATGGAACAGTTTGCCTCAATTTTTGAAGGGAATTGAAAATGATAAAAATCATTTAAGAAATAATTACAAACTTTTTTGTTTAAATAGATTTAAGAAGACCAGAGCGCATTGAGCATGCTAAAGTGGCATGGATACCAGCGCTATTTAAATATCCAATCAATCAATCACAGAGGACTATCAGCAGAGCCGTTCTTATGAGTTTAGGGGCCCTCAGCATGGAGCGTAGGATGGGGGCACCGGAATGCGGGAGGGGGGTCTGAGGGTGGAGCTCCCTCGAGCTGAGGAGAAAACACCATCCACCACTGCCTCACGGGGGCCTCCTCACGCTCGGGGCCCTACGCCGATGCGTAGTCAGCGTATGCTTAAGAACGGGCCTGCTATCAGGTAGTTATTTAGCCTATAAGAATATTTTTTAATACAAACAACATGTTTTACAGTAGTAATTACAGGCTGTTAAAAAAAAGAAGATAAAAAAGCAAAATAAATATTAATGTTCATTTGTGTTATTTTAAGGACTAAATATTTACACATGTATAAGATATACACGGAGATTACATATGAGCATATAAATTGACATTATAGGTTCACGCATACACCGGCATACGAGCATGACATATAAATTGATATTCTAGTAGCAAATGAGCATGATATTTAAATTTATATTCTAGTATCACACATACACCGGCATACGACCATGACATATAAATTGACATTCTAGTATCACATATACACTGGCATAAGATACGTGTATAAATTGACATTCTAGTATCACACAGACACCGACATAAAACGCTGACATATTACTTGATATTCTAGTGCCACATACACATGTACCAGGGCATACGAGTATTACACATATGATAATATAAGACTTTAACATATGCCTACATTGACAATACAGAAAACCACAACTGTTTTGGCATAAGATGATTACATAAACATTCGATCTACATCTTTCTCGTGCCTGGTACGCCCCCTGACCCTCGTGTTGATGACACCGTTGAGCGTGTCATGGTCAGGCTGACCCTTTTCTGGATTGAAGTGCAGCGCCTTGTCGCGTGACCGTCCATAGCTGCCGGCGGCCATGCTTTGGCCATCCCGGTGGCCATCCGCCGAGGCCTGCCGCTCCTTCTTCAACTGCTCAAGCGTGCCCAGAAAGTCACTGACGACATCTGCATCTATTCTGTGGTAGTTATCCAATGCAGCTTCGTCGGCCGGCTGCCGATGTGATGACTTGCCATGCTCCTGTACATCACCAATCTTCGACCCATGTTCATTCAACGTTTCACCGTTGTCTTCGTTTCGCTTCCTGCGTCCGAATTTTATATTTTCTGAAGTTTCAGAAACGTCCTTTCTACGAATTACGTTTTCATCCAAGCCAACGCCATTGTTTTCGACTTGAGTATTATCAGTTATTAAGTTATCTTTCTGTTGAAAATGACCACCGATTTTTTTGGACAACTTATCATCGAATAATTTAGTGGCAAACTGAAACAGTTTTAAATCCAGATGGTTGGCTTGCTGAACTAGTTGGAGCATCCCCGGCTCTAGAGGTAACAGCGTCTCACTCGCTGTGTGCTGACGATGTAATGGTTGTCGGAAATGAAATCCTAGCTCAGCTTCTGTTTGAATAGGAGATAAGATTATTTTTGATGATCAAGCTAAATGTAAATGTGTTCTGATTACATTTTACACATTCAGTTTTAGCATATGGATAAATATTCGTATTACGATAACAATTTTTAAACTAGTTTTTTTTTTTTTTTTTAAATTTCAGGCATTTAAAGTATTTCTAAAAAATAAAATCAACCATAAGAATATATCATTAAATCTTTCGGTCAAAAATAAGTTTAATTATTTATATTGTATTTATATATATACAGTAATTTGTTCTCTCTCTCTCTCTCTCTCTCTCTCTCTCTCTCTCTCTCTCTCTCTCTCTCTCTCTCTCTTTCCCTAACCTCGCTTTCTCAGATGAATATATGTTATTGTATGTTCTTGTAGAGCATGTCCGACAGGTTATTTCCTAGTTTTCGTTCAATCAGAATTGCGTCTAGCTTCGTGAGTTCAAAGTTGAGATTATTCTATGTTTACATTTCAAGTTTACATATCATGGTTTTACGTATTGAGTGCCATCCCTTGACACAACGATACCAGCCATGACGCCAAAGAGGTTATTCGATGCTCACCCAACAAAACCATGGTATCGTCAAGTCTGTACTCACCCAACAACACCACGGTATCGTCCAGTCTGTACTCACCCAACAAAACCATGGTATCGTCCAGTCTGTCGAGGATGCCGTAGAACGGAAGTCTGAGCAGCGTTTGTTTGGCACTTTTCAGCAGAGCTTCATCATACGCCTGGCCTCTGAGCCTCAGGGCGTTGACCTCTGCCAGATTGGCCAACATCCGGGTCTGACGATTGTTCGCCGAGTTTTCTCTGTGGAACAATTCAGATGAATAGAAACAATACACACTGGATCTTCCAGCTCTGGAAAAAATGTATTCATTCTTTTGGGCCGAGCAGACATTGTCCAAAACCAGCAATTGACATTTTGTTACCCACTCACATGGGCGCCCGCAGGTAGGGGCAAGGGGGGCACTTGCCCCCCGCCCCCCTTGGATTGATTGGATAAAAAATTATTAGACAAAAATAGACAAAAATGTATTAAAGTAAAGAGAAAATAAAGAGAAAGTAACTTAGCTGATGTCCTTTCCGTTCGTTCACCATACAAATACGCTACAGTAAATTAAAACTATATTAAAACATTACTAAAAAAATCCCCCCCCCCTGGAAAGTTAATCGATTTTTTGCCCCCCCTACCCTAGAAAGTTTTTTGCGGGCGCCCATGCCCACTCATATAATGTTATATAACATTTCCATTGATATCCCACCATATTATATCATATCTAGCAACCATTCCCAACGTCAATATAAACAAATAAAATACCCCCCCCCCACCCCCCCTTTTTTAANAAAAAAAAAAAAACCCCCCCCCCCCCCCCACTTTTTACAAAAAAAAGAAAAAAAAATTTAAAAAAAAAAAAAAAAAAAATTTAAAAAAAAAATGTTCTTAAAAAGTTAGCTAATTTTTGTAAGCAAGTACGTTTTATTTGTTAAAAATTATCTAAGCTAATTTCGTCAAAGCAACATTTTTTTAACAAAAATTATAGTTAGAAAAAACAAAACAACAAATAAAAGAAATGGTTTCATAACATTGTTTTCTACCACCCCAACCCCATATTATTTAACACAATATAACAAAATGATAGACCACCGTCTACCCCATTTACGTTATGTAATATGTGCACGATCCCTTTGGATAAAAGACGATTCCGTTAATAAAATAGATTTTTAAAAAAGGAAATAGTTTTTTGTTGTGTTCCACATGTTTATGGACTGGTCTCAATTTTAATAAAATGACTGAGACAAAACAAACAGCACAACGCTATTATGAGAACTTTGCGTACTTGCAACGGATGAAGTCCAACAATGGCAGATTTGAGAGTTTGATCCCCAAGTAACAAGCCAGTCCTTTCTTCTGTAACTCCAAGCTGATGTTCCTGTACAGCCGTGGCTCGTTCTTAAAGAATGTGTCCTCATCTCTTGTGTGGAGCCACTCACTCAGGTAGCGGGCCATGGGCTCCCGTAACATTGTGACAAGGAAGTATCTGTAAAGGAAGGTAACAGTTAGGCTATATAATATAGCCAATGTGCGATTTTAAGGTGGTTTATAGGGGTTTATGGTAGTTTTATGCTGCTTTATGGTGGTTTATGGTGGTTTATAATGGTTAATGGTGGTTTAATGTTGTTATGGTGGTTTATGGTGATTTAAGGTGTTTATGGTAGTTTAAGCTGGTTTATAGTGGTTAATGGTGGTTTAAGGTGGTTTATAATGGTTAAGGGTGGTTTAATGTGGTTATGGTGGTTTATGGTGATTTAAGGTGGTTTATGGTGACTTAAGGTGGTTTATGGTAGTTTAAGCTGGTTTATAGTGGTTAATGGTGGTTTAAGGTGGTTTGTTGTTTATGGTGGGTTAAGGTGGTTTATGGTACTTTGAGGTGATTTATCGTGGTTGATGTTGGTTTATGGTGGTTTAAGGTGGTTTATGGTGGTTTTTTGTTTGTTTAATGTGTTTTAAGGTGGTTTATGGTGGTTTATGGTGGTTTGTTGGTGGTTTAAGGTGGTTTAAGGTAATTGATGGTGGTTTTTGGTGGTTTAAAATGGTTGATGGTGGTTTAAGGTGGTTTATGGCGTTTAAGATGGTTTATGGTGGTTTATGGTGGTTTAAAATGGTTGATGGTGGTTTAAGGTGGTTTATGGTGGTTTATGGTGTTTTAAGGTGGTTGGAGTTGGTTGAGATGGTTTACGGTGGTGTATGGTGGTTCAGGGTATTTTAAGATTGTTTAAGGTGCCTGAGGCTATTTATGGTGGTTAAAGATGGTTTAAGAGGGTTAAAGGTGGTTTAATGTGGTTTATGCCGATTTATGGTGTTTTAAGGTAGTTTAAGTTGGTTCAGGTGTTTTAAGGTGGTTTAAGGTTATTTATGCTGGTTTACTATAATGTGGCTTAGAAAGAAAATATAGGCCCAGATATTAAGTTGGTTTATACAGAGTCAGATCGGAGGCTGATCTAGGCAGCAAGACAGGGGAGAAAATAGACACACATCTGAAGAAAATTATGTACTTAGTCGATGCATTAAGGAAGGGAATGTGATGTCTGTTGGGATGATGGTTTGGGGGTCTGGGTTAAGTGGAAAGTTATCTGGTAATAACATCATCTTTTTATGGCTAAAAACATCTAGTGAGATTATTTTATTTTAAATATCACTGAGATTCCCCGCCCACCGCCCCCCCCCCAAAAAAAAAAATAAAATAAAAAAATAAAATGCAATAATATTAAAGAAATTTTTTTAAAAAATCACCGATCACCTGGTACTTACACTTTTTAAATTGAAAAATGTGATATATTTAGATTCTGAATAGTCACTGAGAAGCCAACAAGACAGCCCCGTGTCTTACCTTCTGAAAGGCCGCGGGTCTCGGCCGCTTGTCTTAAACCAGCGGTCTATGGGGCAGTTGTTGAGGGTCGTGAAGTCAGCAAACTCTCCACAGACATAGCCCGTTGTGTTGAATGAATGAAAGAGCCAAGGCTGGCCGTGCCTGGACAAAGGAGGATGGTATCATTTTGTGGTGAACATTAACTGGGTTGCAGGAGACATTTAGTTCATTCAGTACACAGCAATAATCACATATCTACCATAAGGTTCACATCAATAGTACATTTACATTTACATACCGCAATCGTCCAAAATATACAAAAATATGCGTCCAAAATATACAAAAATATGCGTCCAACACATACAAAAATATGCGTCCAACACATACAAAAATATGCGTCCAACACATACAAAAATATGCGTCCAACACAAACAAAAGTGTGCGTGCAACATATACAAAAATATGCGTCCGACACATACAAAAATATGCGTCCAACATATAAAAAAATATGCGTCCAAGACATACAAAAATAGGCGTCCAACACATACAACAACACTAGCAGAGGCTCCGATTTCGGCGGTGTTTACTCTCACGAGGCGCCAAGTTAGCAACATAAGAACCTTTTGAGAGCAGCCAGGGAAGATCGACGTCCAGGGCCATATCCCTTTTGTAAGAGCAGACACATGTCTGAATGCGTGTTTTGGTAGCGGTATACGTCCCCGCGCAGGGTGGCACCGTAGTGCGCCGATCTTAAGACCAACGATGTGTAAGTTGTGTCTCTGTGAAGTCCTGACAGATCACAAACAGAACGAACAATCCCATTGAACCTTTTCACATCCCAAACACTTTACTTGGACCACCCGGATCTCCGTTTCCAGGCATTTCCTATGGACCAAAACACGTTCCTTTCACTCTGCACAATCTCAGGAACACATATAGCCACAAAAAAAAAAAAATTCACAACATCCTTCATAATTACCGACATTTCCACATTTACGACAAACAAAATCCCATGACTGCATAGAGAGGGACTCATACATATACAAATATACACATGGATTCCCCAGTATGGAGAAGTTTTCTGTAATAAATGCATTTGCAACATTTTCAAAGGTCTAAATTATATACACCTTCAAGTTAATCACAAGCCATAATCCATTTAAATATTGGTATGTAAGTTACGTCACGCCCCGGATTTCAAAGAAAGATATTAGTATAGAAATTGACTTAATATATCAACGGTTGAATTTTTTGTTTCAACTTAAATATAATTTCATCAAATGCCTTAATCAATAATCTCAAACGTGATTGTCTGATGATGACTTACTTGTTCAAACATTTGCACTTGGTCATTTGATCGCGGCACGAGCAGGGTGTTTCCAGAACAGCTTCCTGTGTAAGCAGGTTGGACAATGACGTCATTCCTGTTCTTGGAATGTGGAGGGCGATGATGACGTCATTAGCATTGATGTCAACACCACTCTGTGTTAAGAATCAAGATCACAGTAGCGCGATTTAATGATAATTAATTTCTTTTGCTAATAGAAAACTCAATGACGTCAATTTTAAGTCTCATCACATCAAAAAAATGATATTAAAAAAAATCGAATATTAAAGCAGTCTATCGTGTTTCTGAATTATAATAATGATATATATATATATATATATATATATATACATATTTTTAAAAAAAAATTTTTGGGCCGGGGGGTGGGGGGTGGGAGGGTAATTGAGCAATTGAAATTGTCTTGGGCAATATTTTTTGTCTATCTCCACTTGCAACGTTTATAATGTCCGCTTGGTTGAAAGACTTACGATTTTCTTTAATTTGAAAGGACTTAATTTTCATTGTCTACACCAGTGGTTCGAAAACTGTTTATTCCTGGAGCCCATACGTTGGAAACTCTTTGGGTACATTTGAAACTATCGCCTCCATCCATAAAATAATCAAAGTTTTAAGCGCCAATAATGAACACATTTACTCGCCCTACAATTCTTTGAACAAAGCAGAACTAGGGCACGCAACTATGGGCTCGTGCTCTCCAATTATGGAACCGCTGGTTTAAGTTATACTAACATTTCACCAAGGGGCATCATTTCAGGTTTTTTTCAGGGGGGGGGGCAAAACAAAAACATGGTCGGCTTGTTAAGTTGTTTGTTATTGGAGGCGTCACAGTATATAGAAATTTAAATAAAACCTACAAATTTGGTTGTTGGGGGGGGGGGGG